CGTATTTCAGTCATACCCCTTGTCCCTGCTCGAATTTAGTTCCCGTCATAAGACTCTGAAAGCGAACGGTTAACAGAGAACCGACTCTCTGATAGTGGCGTGGATAAGGCTTTGTAATTTGCATCCTAATGTGGTAGGGAAGAGATATTGAGTTGTCCTGGTTTTCTTCCTTTCGTCAACGAAGACTAAATGCTAGCAAGCAGAGCATCATTTTAAATTTTGCGACAATTTAAGACGGAGCCGTATTTCAACAGAGGCGGAGCAAATGAAGTGAGTGACACTGCCTCAGTCGTTACCATTCTCAACCGTTAAGTTTTAGAACGATCGACTATAGACTTGCTCATTGGCGCGTTATCTATTAGGTAAATGAAATTAGATGTTGATAAAAAAAGAATATGATATTCAAAGAGGGCACTATCACTTCAGTTAAATGTTTATTTTAATTCCTTAAAGCTCGGTGACATGTTCCACATCAGAAAAGCTATTTTATTAGAAAATTTGACAAAAAACAAAACAGTGTGATGTTGTAAAAGCAAAAAATTAAATAAAAACAAGTCTGCACGCAGCGTCTAGTAACCAATTATTGATCGGGTGAATTATACTATTTAGACATGATTTCATGATTCTAGATTGCTTTAAATGATCTCATTATTTTATTTATTATCATATAAAGTGATCATTCTCAGGGCGGCACACCCGAATTACCCACAACGAAAACAAATCCCCCCCCGGGAATTATAGTAATGTTTCAAATAATGTATCTTTTATCGATCATTGTTGCTCGTCATTTTTTAATCAGAAAGGCTTGGAAAAATGTTTAGAAATTCCTACGAGGTAAAATAGTGTTTTTTTTTCAAATGTCATATATGCATTTTCAAGTAATAAAATATAGTATATAAAATGGTAAATATGGCAGTAGTATTAGATACACAGTGCTCAAATTTTATGTAATGTAGTTACTAATAATTGCTGTATAGTCCCTTTTGAAATGTAACATATACACACAGATAAGTAAGGGCATGTTTTAAACTCTATATACTATAGGTAAACACAGAATAATACATAATGTCATTAATAAAAAAATGCCATTTTTACAGAAATAAAGTGATAAATAAGTTCCTAAACGGGTTTACCATACAATTATGAGATAGTTTATTATTTATACGGTGGCAGAAGTGAGCACCATAATGTATATGAAAAGGATAAATTTGTATGAAAAAGAAAGTATTCAACAAAAAGCCCTGCAATACAATGTTTCTTCGTAAGTGTATTGTTTTTCTTTCAGTTGTCTTAGTCGCCCAGTACATTCAATTAGGGATGTTTTATTTCCGATCCCTTAAAGATCGTTCAGCACGTTATTATTGATTTATGCTTGTGGTATTTTTAGTTCTTTCTATTCGGCTATTTTCTAGTTGGGTGGTTTCAGTATTCCTCACTTGAATACTGTTTAAACACCCTTAGGATATGTGGCCTGCTTTTTAAATTTGTCTTTTGACAGCTTATCTGTGATATGAAGGCTTCATAAATTCTGATCCCCTTTCAAAATTTCATTTTTTAGTTCCACCGATTGTTTTCTGATTTAGGACACATGCATACGTTCATACACCGCTTTTCATGGAATGACACTAACATGTAACATTAAAGGTTTTTGATAACCAACTTTTGAACACATCTGCGGAGGTTTCTTAATTCAATATTTCACCATAACCATGATTAAATGTTGAATTCTGCTTAAGCCGGTGCTAGGGTCGTCGACAGTAGTTTGCAATTGCTATCATTCTTTGTCATATCTTTGTATGTTTGTTTTATAATGTCACAATTTTGAATTTATATTTGTGGAATATGCTTCGATACACACTGGTATTGTGACTGAGCAAATAAAGTACTTACCCGAAATTGGGCCTAAAAAGGGGGATTTCCTCATATGGTACAAGTATAAGAAAGTTCAAGAAAGCAGACTCAGCTCATCGCTATTTAGCTGAAACTAAAATATTTACTCTGTGTAAGTGTAGATAATGCTTAATGAGGGTCTATCCGCCCTAAGGGCACAAAAAGCAGTTTTCGCTGTCGAGTACTGACCCCGGACATGTCACCAGTCATGCCCTTAAAGAGTTAATTTTGAAGCACTAAGTGGTGATTATTTACCTCCATGCAATTTCCACGGAGTATTAGCCACAGGTATGAATTTTGAGGTTCAATCCTCACGCTCACGCACCCTAGCACACCATCCTGGTCGACTCAGAGCCTACTTTGTAGGGCCACTCCCCTCGGCTTTAGTCAGGACACCGGCAGTTAACTTTATGCAAGCTAAGTCGTGCCGCCGAGCTGAAAAAACCTGCGAACTAGCCGTATTAGACGTACATTGTAGCATTGGTTCTTTAATCATCTGTCGATGCCCCGTGTCTTCTCAACGACGTACACGTACGGAGGGGAATAGAGAAGTGTAAAAGATTTACTTTTAAGCTTTCATAAATTTGTATATGCGTTACAGGGTCTGCAAGCAATTCCAGAGGCTAAAGACAAATGTAACGCAAATTTTGTTATGGTTTTATCTCATAAATCTGATGTTAAAATGAAGATTTATCAATATTGTAAGTTTAAAAAAAGCATTACATGTAAAGATATTTCCGAATATAGAATTTCATGTTAATGAAAGGGCAGTAATAAGAAATTTATTTTCGATAAAGGGTAAGCCAGTTTTTTTTTCAATAAAAATGAATGCATTCATTTTAATGTTTAATGATATTGTATATAAACACTTGTTGTAGATATTTAACATTTTTCTTTAATGTTTGGAAATTGTTTTAGAAGAATAACTATATATATATAAAACTTCACTTAATTCTAGTTTAAGCCTTAATTACAACATTCAGGATCTTTAAAGGTGGTGAATTATGGGGGTATTATAATTATGAAGTACACAAAAACAGCTGGCGCTTCGTCAACTGTGTTTGAGTGTAATTGAACTGTATTGTACCTCTCAGTGACGAACTTATTTTTCACATCACAAAGGTTAAGAAAATGGCTTTGTATTACATTGAAAACAGAGTTACTTTGTGTACAATATGGAATTTATATGGATTCTTTTGAACTCAAAGGAATACAAACCAGGCTAGATGAATATTTAACAATGATTGAATACGGATTTAAGACTAGGAAAATGAAAATGATGATAAATTGATACAATTAGATACAATAATGGTTTGTACTATAATATCACAAGGTTTACCCTAGCCTAATGTTGTGTGATGTCGTGCTGGGCTCCTTGCGGGTAGTCCAGTGTTGCTCGATCGTCTTTGGGATGCGTCTATTCACCTTTCCTTGTTGATCTTGTTTTTAATAATTTATTGGTTATATTTTATTAGTCGTGAAATAAAACTACATCTTTTTATAATTAAAGTTTATCTCAAATGACATACTTTGCATGAATATTTTATCTACTGACTATATTCGAGTTCCGTTCTTTTTGACCATTACTCATATTCTGTCCGGTTACCTGCCTATTTATACTTAAAATATCAAAATAATTTTTGTTGTCAAACATGTTAATGTACATGAATAAGTACATAGTTATTTTTTTTTACTTTCTCTTCATATTTAGTGTTATCGTTATTTCATTTAAGGGCCTATTAAGTTAAAAAAAACAACAACAACAACAAAAAACAGAAGGAAAGATAACTGGAATAACGAGAAACCAACCGAATCATAAGAAGACATTTTATTGTTATACAAGCACTAACATAATTACATGTTGACATTATAAAACCCTCCGCACAATGAATTATGCATAACGGTAATGCACAGCAACCAATTCTGTAGTTTTTATAAAATATCAGAGTAGTTAAGTGATTCTAAGATATTTAAGAGCTAAACGCCTCCCGGCACTTACAATGCATGAATGCTTGTTAAATTTAATTTCCTGTCCACATTGACTGCTCTAATGTCTGATAAGAAGACTACATCAACGTGTCATTGCTGTGTCAAAATCAGAAATAATCTTCGGGGTTTTTTTATAAGTAGTTGTTACATAATTTTGCCTTTCTATTCAATCATTCATTCATTTAACAATTCAAGTATAGATCATGTCTAAATTATTACTTATATTGTATGGATATACAATTTTATAAAATTTAAAAATGATGACAAAAAGATAAATAATTTAGTCCTATATACTAGTAAATGTATATGCTGTTATTCGAAATTGTAAAATTGTGTCTATGCAGAAGTATTTATCAAAGGAGATATGTGTATGTTGATCTGAACTATCGCTTTCATGAATAAGTCAGGGGAATATTAGGATTAAACATTTTGTAGAACATTTTGTTCCTTGAAATTACTTGAAAGCTACATATAACAGCAAAGCGTTAAATTGATTATCTCTAAGCAATTCCAGAAATTAGTGCATGTATTTTTAAGAAATAATTAACAAACGTTAAATAAATATCGTCAAACTATTTCAGAAAAAATGAAACAAAGAGTACTTATAAACATATAAACACATTAAACTTCAAGAAGCTATTAATTATCATTTGACGTTTAATATTTGTCATGCAAAATGGTGAGAAATTGATATTTTCTTCTGATAAAAAGCAAAGATACTTTGTTCATCACTCCTTCAAAAGAAAGCAATGAGCATGTTTACACTCCTCCCGCACCTGCCATCACAAAAAGAAATGAAGCAAACCATAAAATACTATTGAAGAAAAAAAGACTCCAGTTTTTCATAGAGTTAGTTTTGCACCTACAGCTACTCCTGGAGTATTTCACCATATTTGTTTTGTATTTCTTTCTCATGCTTTGCCAAATTAATATTATTAAGCAAAATTAGGGTCTATTTAGCTGATAATTGACATTAATCATATTCACGTGTGTACCGTGTTTGGTTATCTAAATAACCATTGTGACATGATGGTCATAAAATCCTTCCACCTGTCGTTTGATTTACATTATTTCTAGTTTTGATATAGAAGAAAAATTCTTAATTTAAAATGATTTTCTGGTAAAGGAGGCTAATATCATAAATGTTGAAACACAAGCAAAAATTAGTCACTTTCTGTTTGCCACTGATTTGACTAATTCGACATTTGATTCTTTAACAAGATAAGGTTATCGGGTTAGGGTCATATTACAATAACAGGAGGAGGGCATCACAGGCTATTGATCAAAGCAGTATACAGTGTTAAATAGCATCGTGGATGGCGCATTCAACAGCGTTAGATAGTCGTGAACGTACACAGTGATTCCTTGCAAAATATTAATAAAATTCAAACGTTCGTTTTAGTTTTAAGTGAAGTTAATAAAGGAGTCGAGAGAAAGAAATGTCATTTAAGTAAGTTATTTCTTTATTATTCTAAACTTCTCTTTTAATTATACGAGTATATTTATTTTGTAATCTAAATTTAATTTGAATTCCTTATTTTTATATTAACGCAATAAAATGTTATTATCAATACAAAGAAGATATCCGGGGGACTTGAAAGAGTAATGTAGTGAAAAAATCGTTTATTTAGTGTTAATACCTACATTTAAAACGAGAAACATGTAGTGATATAAATATTCTTTAAGACTACATCGATCCATCTGATGATCTGTTTTATAATACAAGAAAAGATATTATGATTAGTGACATGATATTTTTATGCGTATAATATATGCATTATTTACATTATTTATGTATTATTTATGTTTTTATGTACTTGTATTATAAGTGTATTATATATGTTTTATATATTTACATGTATTATACATAATAATTATATAACATATTAAATGGAAATTTCTTTCATAACTTTTATCTACAAATGTTGTTACTTTACTTATTGGTTGAATACTCGTATATAACAGTTCACATATACCTGTTTCTACTTTTTAAAATTGTACGATGTGTTAGTCTTGATTTGCAATCTCAATTTTATTACTATCCGATAAATGAGACAATCGGTCTTTAAAACAATTTTAAATAAAATGGTAAAATGTATTGTATGTGTTCTTTGCTGAATGATATATCTATTATTGCTCTATATGGTAGAATTTGAAATAGAGACAAAGACGTTATTAAAATCTAACAGAAGTATTCAAGCAAAATTGACATTGGGTTTTATCGGAAAACATTCATAAATCGTTTTATTAAATTAACAAGGGCATGTTTTAATTTGAAGGAAATGTCAATGTTAATAAAGAGAAACAGAATGATCATACCGCAACAGAACTGTTTGTGTTTTTTATACACGTAACGTATGCGTTGGAGAATTCCTTAGATGTTATCAAAATCTCATTTCTTTCCGGTTGTTTTCGTCGTCTGTATTAGTCCGGTTTCCCTGGTCAACGTAGTACATGTGTGTAAAGTTGACGAAAGCGTGCGTTATTACCATTTACAATAGCGAATAATTTTTGATTAATTATGATTTAATAAAACAAACTGCATAACCTCTTCTTCTCCGGTTAAAACAGCTAGCATTATATTGAATAAAAAGTTTAGTCAAATACCGTTTATACTGAAGATATGCTATAGTTATCAAGAGATGTTAAATTTCAAAGGTAAAAGAGGAAAAAAAATGAAAATAAGAACTTCATAACTGTAACATTAAGTCGGGACAGGAATAATTGAAGACAGTGTATACATTTAAATTTCCGATGTATCGCATTTTAAATTTAAAAGCCCATTATGCCAAAGAAAAGCTTTAATTGTTATTTCCCAACAACATTTTATTTTTTCATCTCCAAAAAGATTACTCATTATCTAATTACCTGAACCACCTGTTGACTTTTGGCAATTTGTACAGTTATAGTAATTTAGTATTTTGTATGGTAGACAAAATACTACTGTGTGTACATTTCGCTACTGTTATGACAAATGGTTTCAGATTCAGTGCTACTATCTTCAGGTGAAAGGTATTTAACATGCTCTGAAACGATATTTTAAACGTTAAAAAATTCATATTTTCCCTTTCTCAAAAATGAAATATTTTTTGTTTATGAGGCATAATGTGCCTTTTAAATAAAATGTGTTACTGGTTCTTGAGTTTTTCTAGTGAAAATGATGTTTAGATATTTTTATTTAATTTTTATCACATCTATTCCCTTATGTATAAAAGAAATTAATTCAAACACCATTAATGAGTGACTACAATGCAAACCTTGCTATACAGGCATCATAATTGTTATTATAGATATTGGAAATGTATATCAACAATACGATTACGCGCATTTTATATCAAAAGATATGAATTTTAATTAAGTTATCACTTTATAAAATCAATTTTTATATTTTAACTTTTTATACCTTATAACGAGAGCAACAATTTTTTTCTGACATTTACCCAAAAGAAGTTTACATGTTATAAGTTATGAATCGATCTGAACAATCTAAAATAGTAGAACAATGTGTTTCTATTTAAGAGTAAAGTAAACTATTTTACATGACAAAAATATGCTTTTTATTATTCTTTTTCATTTATTTACATGAGATCAGTAATATTAGTTACCAATAAATGAGTCCGTCAATAGATATCAACATTTTGCTAATGATGTTGTATTATGTATTAATACATTCAAAATCCTAATGAGAATGAAGAAACATCAATTTAAAGTTACAGAATTCTATGTCTGGTTCATTTATCACCACCTCCCCATCAAAAGAAACACACAAACAGCAAAAACACACAAAAAAACAACACAAAACAACAACACTAACCACAAAACAAACAACAAAACAACAACAAGTCAAGACAAGTCAAATTTCCATTATTACACACATTTCATGTAATTTCCATTATTACACACATTTCATGTTAACATGAATAAATGTGATTAGTCATAAATACTATGTTAGTAGAGGCTCTTTGAACATATACAATGCATATATAATTGTAGTGGTAAAATAATTCGTGAAAAAAGTATTTTTTCTTATCATTTGCTTAACCACAGTTCAATTAACAATATATCAAAACTACAAATTGTTAAATTTCTTAGTAAATGAGTTACCACAGTGAACCGTGGAGAGTCACGTTATTTAGAGACAATCAAAGGGTATAATTTCTTTCTTTATTAGAATGATTACAATATAGAGAAAAAAGAAATAATAATGTTTAATAATAACAACTGACAAGCGACGTACAATTATGTACGACATATTTCAAACCTTTACAATGACATTTCTAAACTTATACTAAAAAGCTAAATGAAACATGTTTTATACTATTAGACAAAACTTATTACAAATATACACTTTGCTGTGGGTAATAACTATTTTCTATAAAAAATTAATCAATGAGATATTCGTATAAACAGTCTTGGAATGTTAGTTATCAAATAAGAGTTGGATACTAATTAAATTATCTTAAAATTATTTTGTTAACCAATTTACATATTTTCAAATATTCGCTCTTGTCTTCTGTGTTAATAAGTTCTTCTAGCTTGAATGTATTTGCGCGCCTGTAATAGTGAAGTTTAAAAATAATCTTTCTGTAATCATTAAGCAAAGCGCATTCAAATAAGTAATGAAATTCAGAAATTCATCGCCTATCTTATTGTTTCAAGAGGTACATGTTCTTTGATTGATTGGCATTCGGGCACAATTTCCGTTATCTAATGCTACTTGTACGAAATTTTATCATGTAACAAAGAAAAGTTTTAGGAGTTGATAAAAGGTTTTTTTCAAATTTAAATTCTTTTTTGAATATTCTATAGAATGTACTTTTGCTAGAGTTTTCAATAAGGGAATACCAATTATTTAGTAAAATATCTTTAATTTTATGTCTTATTGTTAGTTTCAACCACTTATCGTTTTCGAAATTTGTGTACCCCATATATTACATAAACTGCAATTTATAAAAAAAATGTCTTAAGTTTGCAATCCAAGGAATTTTCCCCATATTATTTTCACTTAAGTTCTTTGAAAAATTATCTGTTATATTATATAATAAAGTCGACAATTTCTTATGATGATTATTTACATCGTGTTTTTAATCGAGCCCAAACACGATTATTCTTTCATTTATATCAATAGATATCGGCAGGCAACATGTTTCTCCGTACACTATATAATTTGGTGTGGATCGTTTCATATCTAAAATATATTTTAGATAATTTATTTGGACTCACTTCTATATTGCAATATCCCCATATTTCCTCCCAATATAGATGAATAAGTTTAGTTATTTTATTAAAAAGATCTATTTGAATATTAATGTTTAACTAGTCGATTTAGTTTCTCATTAAAATATACAACAACAACAGCTAACATTGTTAATGCCGTTGTACAGCAAAGTGCAATCATTGCTTACATGCTAGCAGATTGTGTCCGTTTCTGTTGTTTATGTATGGCTTCGCAGCAAAAAGTACATTAACGTTAGCGTTGTTGTAAAACAAAGCCAAAATGTAATGTTACAAAAAAGAAAGGTAAGGTTTAAATTTCGATAAAAGACAAACCTTTTTGTTTGACTAAAATGTTGAATAAAATAAGTACCATTTCTTCATATTCCTTTTGAAAAAAAAATGATAAGAAATTTCATTTTATTATTTATACCTAACTTAAAATCTTCTATAACTTGAATGATGTCATTTCCCAGTTGACATAATTCTGTAAGTTATGTGTATTTAGTAGGTAAAGATTCCCTATAAATCTAAATTTTATATAAATCGCGTAACACATAAGTATTCGTATAGTGCAAAATTGAAATTTATAGAAATGGAACAATTTTTAACACTAAACAAGAATGCCTTTTCAATAAAAATATCACCCTAGCTAACCCAATTTGCGTGGACATTTCCCTAACAAAGCCAAGCATTAGAAAAATAAGCTCTTGGTAGAGGCTACCAATGGTATTTTCTGCAAACAATTTTGAATTAAACATAATATTTATAACCATTACTTTCCTTGACACTTCTCACATTTTTAGTTTGGTTTCACGTCGCACCAATACAATATAGGTCCAATGGCGACTTTCGGGCTTTACTGGTATCCCTCTGTACGTTATTTCAGGCACAAATTGTCACCTGAGTAGAACCATCAACGTTACCCAAGCTAGCCGGATAGCTTTCATACTTGTAGAATCCGACAGCGTTTGCTTTGCTACCCTCATTGTCTCTTGTTAAAACCAACGTGAATGTTTTAACTAGATTTACTTACTAGATTTAGTGGTATAAAATTAATATGTGGTAATCTTTTATTGAGCCTGCTTTTAACCTGCGCACATTAAATGACATCAGCAGTTCAAAGGATTGACATCGTAATAGAAACACCCACCTTGGCTCATCCGTAATTTAACTTCGTATGTCATTTGATGTACATGTTTTTAACTAAATTAACCTTTTGACCCTTGTTATCATTTTATATGTCTCCTATGAAATATTTGAGTTGTCGCCTCTATAGTATTTTATTATAATAAACAATAACAAACCAGCAGTCTGTCCAAAATAAATAGTCAAAAGATCGTAAATCCCAGCATTGTTTTCTCCAGCCATCATTTATTATTGTTCAATTAATCAAATAAATCTTATGTTACTTCCTATAAAACAGCAAACTCTTCTGTATTTTTCCTAAATTTTATCTTCCCGAAGGGACCATAACATTTGGTGACAGACAATAAAAATTCATTTTCTTGGACCGATCAAGAAATAATTAATGACCAAGGCGGCTATTTGATCCTAAATAATTATGTGAAATTGAATTAGTTGTCCAAATAGTTAGTATTCCATGCAGATTGTGTTTCAATTTAGAAGGAATGAATTTTATCATGTCACGCCAATTGTTTAGTGTGAGCAACTTGAACTTTATAACTAAATGGGAGTTAGTTGCAGGCAAAAAGGAACATGTGTTTCCTGATTCATCATCTCGCAATAATCATGAGACATCATGAGCGTAAAGCCCCGGTCACATATTCACGGATAATGCCACGGAAGAGCTACGGTCTAATCGTTCACGGATTACTACGGAAATGTGAAATTCCGTAGTCCGCTACGGTTCCAGTACGGACACACAACGGTATAAGTACGGAGTCAGACGGATTTACCACCAAAATTCCCCGGAGAGACACGGATTGTTACGGACCGACACGGTTTCATGCGGAGCGACACGAATTAGGACGGACGCACTACGGATACACTACGGTCTGCTACGGTATAAGCACGGGTTAGTACGAATAAGTACGGTCTGATACGGAGAAGAACGAATTGATACGGAGAAGAACGAATTGCCACGGATCTATACGGACCTAATACATCCGTCCACAATCTCTTGCATAAATGCCCCACAAGAAAAGAACACCTGGAAAACGAATTGCAGAGTTTAATGATTTCGGCGGAGAGGATTCGGCCTGATCGCGTCTGACCACCGAGACACATCAGGTCCGATAAAAGTGAATTTCTTGAAGGACGCTGGGTCCTCAACAAGTTCGGCCATGAGAGCCTCATACTAAACATGAAGGGGTCTTCGTAAAAGCCCATCTCCAGTCCACCATCTTGCCTGTCCTCTCTTACCTGATTAGATATGGACTAGTAATCATTAAAAAAAGTGTTGATCAAAACTGCTTCTCTTTTAATTTTAAAATGTGCCGTTTTTTTACAATAATATTTATTATCGTGAATGTTTATGTTTTAAAAATATCTAAAAAAGCTTGTTAATTAATCTTCTTATAACTCAAGGGTCAGTGTCCAAGGCTTATGAGACACTTCGTTTTATGAACATATTTACTCAAATTTCACGATCCAATGTTTGTTAAATGTGTAACATTAAATGTTATTACTCTATTACTTAAGAATTGTAGTACGATATTAATATATTTTACCTCTATGCATGTCATCTAGCAGCTCGACCACTGCCTGCGCATTCTGAGCCATTTCAATATAAAATTGCAGCCAGTAAATGGCAATTATCATTTATTGAATGTTCCCGCAAATATGTCTGTTTTTAACAAGAAGGTAGTACCCTTGGAAAGTACATGATACTTAATTCATCCGTTCTAAACAGTGGTGGACCGTACAAGTCCGTGTTGCAACGCAATAAACCGTATAAGACCGTGCTAATCCCTGCTTCTCCGTAGTACAACGTATTACGATCGTGGCTTTCCGTATTAATCCGTATTAAAACCGTAGCTTAAACGTAGGTTATCCGTACCAAACCGTGGAAATCCTTGACAAGTTGGTGGGCTACGAATCAGTACGGACTAGTACGGTTTTCGTACGGACCAGTAAGTATCGGTACGTTTTAATACGGACTAGCAGGGATACGCTACGGTTGATTTTTCCGTAGCAAATTTTTGTGCATGTTCAAAAATTGTCAAGGATCGCTACGGATATACCAGGACTACTACGATTGATTACGGTTACAATACGGAGAGCTACTGACCAGTACGGGTAGCTACGGACGATGCCGGAATTAATCCGTGGCTCTTCCGTGGGCGTATTCCGTGAATATGTGACCGGGGTATAAGGTTTCCGAATAAAGTACGTACACTTATAGGAAAACACTTAATTTTTTGTAATATGATATGTTTAAAATAGCAATGGAAAATGTTCTCCATGTACTGCCTTAAGAATTGTGATTAAGAATTATTTGTTTGCAATATTTCAGAAACGATAAGTGTGGTTTATGAATAGACAATGTTGCCACTTATAGCGTGCAAAAATTATGATTTATTATATACTACTCTAGTATATTAGATAATACAAACAAACGCTAGGGCGCAAGTCAGAAATAAATGTAAACAAAACAGCCATCTAATAAAAACCTATGCATTTATTTTTATAATCTCTTCAGATGAAGTAAACCGACTTTTCTATTTGTAATTCATAAAATGACGGAAGTAAGAATTATTAATCTTCATCGACATTAATCTTTAAGTTAATGTAATCATACAGTATAAAAATGAAGACATTTCAAGTGAGTAGACATGGACACATTTTGCGTTACATCAAACGGTTTTCTAATAACATAATAACGTGGAATATAATCATCACATGACTGTTAAATGTCATGTTGTTGTTAAATGTCAATCTTAAGTCTGCAACATTAGTGAAGAACAGAAAAAAATATTTGGTCAGAAATGAATCAAGTTTATGTTGTAGCTGTTGAAAGACAGCACATGGAATAATTAGGTTTTTTTGTATTGCATATCTTATTTGTTGGGTGAAATTTATTAAGACTTTTCACTCTCTTATTAGATATATGTCATGGTTTGAACTTATTAGATATGGTGTTAGAGGTTAACGTGTAACGTAATTACAATAAAGTATGAAAGTGTACGGTCCAGAATAAAATATCAAAACTTACTGATAGATCTAATTTTGCATGCGCGGCAGGCGTTGTGTAGATGATGTAATGATTTTCAGAAAAAGCAGAGTAGGTTTAAAAGAGAAAATATTAACAAATTTGGTAACCAAGGTAACTAATGAGATTTGGTAAAATATATAATTATGATAAAAGTAAAATATTAGACGTTATTAAATCAATGCATGAAAGTGTCAGGTAGACAATAAAATATTAAATTTTTATCAATCTACATCTGTGTCGGGCGCTTCGGAAATAACTGTCAATGTAAAAAGAAAACTAAAATAATTATTTTCCTAAAGCATAGTATTTCATTCGTTTATGCAGCAGAAATTTGTTTTACATCTCACTTAATTAGGTTTAGTGTTTTTCACAACCAGACAGATTTTTTTTAAAAAGCTTTTGAAATACAATCTTATCAAATTCATTTTATATGCACAATTTGATTTGATTTAATTTCCATGCATAACTGTAAAATACAAAAAGACAACAATTTTAAACTATGTTTTAGAATAAAGAAGTAGTTATGATTGTTAAATTAAAAGTAAGTGCATTTAACCTTTTTGAAAAAGCTGTAAGGCGTTTTAATACAAATGTAGAACATTTTAATGACAGAGAATTCGGACGAACAAGTCAAAAATGTGAAAGAATGAAACGTGTTTAAAAATACTTGCCAAAAAGCATACAAGTTAAAATTTAAAGGTAGAGGTCACACAATTAAAATTGTAAACACCTTATGTAACAAACAAGGGGGATCGTAGTAAGAATCTGTGTATTAACAAAATATTAAAATAGTGTGACATATGATTATTGTGTCATTGAATGCTAACTATAAAAATAAGTATTTTCTTATTCGTGTTTTTAAACTTTTCATATATTTTTTATCGACTATTTGACTAATTGTAATTTGCATAATTATACGTATGGACAACCTGACTAACTTTTTCTGTCAAATTTTAGTTACTTTGTATATTCATAATATCATATTGATACAACAGGAATCAATATATGGCACATTAATCAAATCTTTAAATTAATCAGCACAATAAGATTAATTTGTTTTAAACAATTCATACACTCAACAAGAAGATTCTAGGGCAAATCGGGAACCATTAACGTCGCGTACAACAGTAAAATTACAAGTTAGGCAGACAATTTATTTTGTGCCTTTAAATTTTAACCATCCATATGTTTTTAAATGTTCAAATCTTTTTCAGAGTGACAATTCAAGCTATTTTCTACGTTCATGTAATCGTCATATCTGCAACAGGAAGAGGTATTACATACATATATTATATCACTTGTATACATATTATATCACTTGTCTACAAATACTGCTCATGGGAAATACTTAAAGTGTTCCCTGTCATCAGTTGTTATTTCAATGCAAGCAAAATCAGCGTTTATGTTTACACAAAAGAGGTCTTGCTTGTTGCTATTAATTGAGTATTTGGAGAGCGTCATTTTTAACATATTTGTGTATTTATCCTAACGTTTGTTATTTCTCTTGTGAGACATAGAACTACTCCAAAAGATAAAAAGTATAAACTTGAAAACATTCGCTTGTTTCCCAGCAATTACACAATATCACATTATTCAGTACATGTATCAACCTTGAGAATTGACACTCACCATAATGTCATTTCTTCCTATATAACGGACTTACACGTATATAGGGCTATTTTAAGTCTTTAGTAAACAAAATATGTTGAACCTCCGTATAGAAATTGTACAAGGTCAGCAACACAACTTCATCAATAAAGAGTTATCGAAATACTTAAGAAATATAATATACATTAAATTCAATCGAATTTCATTTTCGTATATTGAAAGATAATGAGAGACGTAAGTGGCAATTTCACATTTACCTGAAGTAAATACGGGCATAATTGTAGAGAACTCCGATTACATGATGAAATTTTGCCACGAATGTAAATCCTAGAAACAAAGTTATTTGTAAGTTATTTGTAACAATTCTATTATGGAGATATTTTTCTTTAAATGTTGTTGCTCAATGTGAAAGCAATTTCATGGTTGCTATAGATGAAAAGATAATGTTATTTATTTTCCTTTAGATGAGATCAAAGAAGCAGCAAGTATCATATTCAATACGCTGAAACACCTGCAAAATGATGACACAGGATCACTCACAACCTTTAATGAGCAATTGGAACCTAGTCCTAATATAGATATGAATTATGATACTTTGAGGACAATACATGGTATGGAAAATTCTTTTTTAACAAATAGTGAGGATATGAAGCCGAAGAGGAGCTGGGAGGATGTAAGCCTGATATGGAGAAAGTCCCCAAAACGTGCATGGGAGGTTGTTAATAGGCTCTGGCAGAATCCAGAAATAAGAAGCAAATATAAATCATATATTGAAAACGGTAAGCGAAGCGAGGAACTAGTAGAAAATACCCCAGTGCAACAGAACAAGGAAACCCCTTTATGGTGGTCCGAAGAATTAGGTAACGATCCTGTGGTACCGATATTTGAGAGTAATTTTGCAGAACGTGAGGAACAGTTACCGGAGTCTACCAAACGAGGCTGGGAAACTGTGCATCCAGGATCCTGGAAGAATAAGAAGACCTCAAGTAAACGGACTAGTGTTGCAGCAATGAATAAAAGAGGTTGGGAAGAGCTTAACTGGAAGAGAATTGCAAGTGGTGTTATCTTTAAAAGAATACCTAATCAAGGACACGAAATCTTTAACTTTTATTCCAATTTCCCTAAATATTTCGACCAGGAATTTAATGATAAGCAATCATTACGCACTCGACAAGAGATTTATGATAATCTATCGCCTTACTTTCTGACAAGTAAAGATATACTGACTGGAATCATGAACATTAAGGACGGACATGTTAGTTATCCACTGCACGGGGAAAACAGTAACACTGATATTAATCGTGATTATCTTGAGACAGGCCAAAGCGGCGAAGTGTTTGAGCCTTCAACATTTGAAAAATTATGCCGATTGATGTTTAAGGATCATGCAAAATGCAGAAATGATGCTAAAGATGATCAAGGACCAGATTGATATTATTTTTTTCTATAAATCTAGTTATTGAACACACTATAAGGAGATGTAATGTTAAAACATGCATAGATACGAACATGTTAAAACACAATGTTTCCTTCACATACATGTAATCTTGCATCAGTTGTAAAAGAAATTCTGGCACTCGCTAAAATATGTTTATGATAACATTGGCTCAAAACAATCTTTACCTCTATAGAGTATCCTCGTTATGTTACCATTTGCTTATAACCTCGTCATCCCTTTATCATACGTGTATCAGCTTTGACAGCGGCCTCGATGGTCTTTTCAAATCCTACTGCACTATTCAGTGAAACTTTACATACTGAGAAAAGATGGGTAGTCGTCTTAGAGAAACATTGTGAAAGAAATTGACGATATTCCACTATCATAAGAACTAATTAGTTAACGATTATATGTGCTTAAAATTTAGTTCAATGTCTATATAAAAGTCAATCAATTTCAAAGAAATATTTGTGTTAAATGTTCGTAAAGCATTACATTAGGTTTAATTATACAAACAAGTATGATGCATGGAAATGCATTTTATTTGGAATTTTATTCAGATGATTTTAACATTTAACATTTTAACAAGATTGTATAAGATTAAGCCTCGTTACTAAATAAAAACGGAAAGGTCGTATTTCATAGCATTATTTTAAGCAAAAACTATACAGGTTCACTAAATTTCAAGCCCTTAAATTTGGATATTTTATTGAAGTCAAGGGCCGATAAGTTAAACATGGGTATGACAAATTTTCTTTATGGAATGCTTGGTCTCAACACGATGGGATTCTTTAAACATTAGTGTTCTATATGTCTTCAGTTTAATTTTTGTCCAATATGTTTAAAGAAAATGTCAAAGGTTTAGGCAAAGAGAGTTTTAACAAACTACCATTAACCAATTCTGAAGATGTCGATAATACCTTTGTAGGATGTCAGCTACTTAAAGAGCAGAAGAAGAATAAAGCCTTTCTAACCTTTTGTGTGAAATATTTGCTAATGATTAGCAAAATATGAAAAAAAGGGCAGATATCTAAACAACAGGCTCGATGAAATCTCAATCAAGCCGAGTCTGCAATTATCATGAATTTTTTCAGTTTTTAATGCTTTCGAGGGATCACTTGTTTCAGATTTTTTTATACATCACAACAGCAGGTGTCAAGTGTTGCGCGACAGCCGTAAAAAGTTACCCCGTACTTCACTTCAGTGATGTTATATTTTTCTGGTTCTTTGGAATCGTTGAGCCCAGCACTTTTAAGTGTTGAGAATTGAGTACCGTTCAAGCCGGTGCTAGAGGGCGTGAGGGATGTTGCACTTTTTCATTAGCCCTCATGTACAGACTCAATCAAACCGAGTCTCTAATGTTCATGTAATTTTGTTGTTTTAATGCTTCCAAGTGATCCTTTTTTTCAAGATATATTTACATTCTAATAAATTCCGTTATACAGTTTTTAGTTTGCTTATATGCCTACATGTAGTTATATCATACGTTTTAAGACATGTAACCACACAAAACGCTTTAGACATTGATATGTGCAGTATTTTTTATTATTGATCAATACCGACATTGTTACACTTAGTTAAACCATCTTATATTAGGAAACAAACGATCATATCTATAGTCGTATATTGAGTAGTTAACCGTAAACAAATCATTTAAAAATACTTGTTATTAAAATAAAGTATGTGATGCAGAATGCTGCAGCAACGTGGCAAGATGCTGATATAGTCATTTTGAGGTAATATGTGAATCATTCTCTTTTTTTAATACAAGCAGAACAACAATACTTTCCTTTCAAATTGTTTGATACTTTTTCTGCCCTTCATCTGCAAAAACTTCTCAAACGACAAATAACAAAAATTATATAACATGCAAAGTACTAATGTTTATAATTTATCGCATTTTAATTAGAAACTAAATTGAATATCGGTTGCATCTTTATCATATGAGTTATACAATGCCAAAAGAAATCTCATTTAAACGTGCTTAGTTTAACGTTATGCTTCGAATTGTTTTATATGGCTTACTTCTATTACTATGTGACGGCGGTTGAAAACTCCCGGGGTATGTGGAAAAGAAACCATTTGAAGTTTTGAAATAAATCGTAATGGGTGGCAATATAAAGGGAAAACATTATATACATGTATCAGCAATGACCAAATATTGACTTTGAATTTAGATTAATGTTTGATTACAGCTCTATCAGCCTACAAATAAAATTGCTTTAAGTGTGATTCGGAATCCCGAAGGATTTTGCCCTCCACTACTGTAACACGTGACAATGTTGAATAAATTATCTTTTCTTTTAGCGTTAGCTACAATGTCACTTATGTAGAAGAATATGCAATTAAAAGAAAAAAAACACGTTTTCAAATTTCTGACGATTGTGTCAACTTTCTGTTTCAACGATCAGTAAATTATTATTTTTACATTTAATTTAACTTTTAATCATTTTATCATCAGGATACATGCTGCTTTAAACAACTTCAAACGCAATTAATGTCATCTAAGCAACTTTTCTTTTAGTTTGAGTGTTCAATAATAAAAATAAATGCTATTTGTAACAACATTACGCGAAACGAATATCAAAATTTGAGATAAAAATTTAATTGATTATAAAATTTATTTTTAAAATCAAATATTTGAAAAGGTTAGCACTTATTAGAATTTGATTTTCCGATATGTTAAAAATGCGCCTACCCTAAGGGGTTATACATATAATGTATATTTAAAACCATTGCTGCGAAATAATGAATAAGTAATGACAAACACAAAAGCTACATACAGAAGCACCTTTTTAGAAAGTGTCTGTTTATATCATTTGACATTAATGAAAGTTTGTTATATTGCTCTTTTCAGGTATTTTCAATACATTTCATTTGTCCATACATTTGCTTTGATTTGATGCTTATGAATAAAAAAGAATGATAAATGAGAATGAACGTTTCAATATAGAAGCAAATGTTGTCATCGGTCTCGTGCGATTCATTGTAAAAATAATCAGCAGATCACTCTAGAGCAATGTACAAAGTTTAAAAATAATAAATGCAGACTCGGTATGACTAAGTTTGTTCACACGAGATAAGACAAAGTGGAACATCTCTCACGCCAATAGCACCTCACGTCCCTCTTAAGCAATATTCAAGCTTCAGCAATGAAAAGAATTGGAATCAAAGATTACTGAGGAACGAAAAAATATAACAAAACATCACAGTTTAACTATCGTTATTTTTTACGCAATGCAGATATTGTTTCCATTTTTATATCTATGGATTTTTCAGCCAGTAAGTTTTGAACAATACAAATATAATGGATGCTTTTTTATTCTGGTATATAAGCTTTTCAGTTTTTATATTCAGCTTTTCTGAAGGATAATATTTTAAGATAAGTCATTACATATGACTGTCAAATCAAAACAATTAAGGCGGAAAAGAAATGTTGCCGTCGATAAAATAATAAACAATAAGGAAACATTTATATGTAAATTATTAAAGCGTTTCCCGATTTTCAATTTTAAAATTGAAACGAACCTCACTTGCGCTCTATAAATAGCTCTCGGGGGGGGGGGAGGCTTAACAGTGATATAATGCACTTTTTAAGATAAAATTAACACAATTATTCCTTTTAAGCAACAAAGAATGTTTCCAACAAAAATAAAAGGGCCGCTTCAGACTATATACGTTTAAATTACTTCATTTACATCGTTCCATTATTTAGTCAGTTGTGTCTTACTTAAATGTGTATCGTAGAAACTGACAAACCTTTTACAATCCTAATATCTATACCAATTAACTAACATTTGTTGTAATATTTAATGACTTGTAATTTCATTTGGCCATCAGATCATGCTGCAATCATAATCGGCGCTCACCTAAATATTCCTGGTGTCATTCTCCTGACATTTTCATATAATTGTCTTGTAATAAACAAAGGAAATTTAGAATGACGTGAATATCATTATAACACTGCTTTATGCAAATATTTAGGGTATAGTTTACGAAATGTAACCATACTGCATTTTGACTAGTGTATCTCTACTTTATTCTGTGTTTACTTGATCGTTTCAAATCTCATAAAATTGTCCAACACAGCAAAAAGCATGGTGTATTGTTAAAAACGTTCTACTTAGATGACATCCTGACCTTGTTATCTTAAAGTATTTTTTTTATTTTTGGATGATTATAATTATATCTGTATTATCACATTCATAGTCGGGTCTTAAACAAAAGCAAACTACCCTTCTGCAATTAGTATACAATTAAACTTTTGTGAAACACACGTTGATTTCTTCAGCCATCATTGGTCAGTGTTTAATTATTAAAGCAATTGTAATTTATTACTTCCTTTAAAAACAAATTGATTCTGTTTTTTAACTTCCTAGAAGACATATGATAAAAAATATTTTTCTTTGCCTGATACAAAAATACCAAGGTTGGGGTATTTGATCCTAATTGAGAATGAGGAATCAAATTACTTGCCCAAATACAATGTAGTTAGTATTCCCTGGCGATTGTGTTTCAATTTAGAAATAATGGATTTCATGATGTCACATCATTTGTGATGTTAATAAAGACCCTTGTTAGCAACATGAAACTATTAATGAAATAAGAGTTAACTACATGCAAGAAAACAAATAAACACGTTTTTGTTACAATTGCCAAACAATTGCCAAATAAGGACAAAAAGATGATATAAAATCATACAGATACTTAAAACGTGTAAATGAACCCAACGGTGAAAAGGCGCGATTGTAAAATTTGAAAAACTATTTACTGGGATGTGAAATAAAATTAGCTCCATATATTTTATTCCGCTGACCCGGCTCCTTTCTAAAATATAATCTAAATGTATTTTTATATACATTTGCATATATAACATTCTATATTAATAGGCAATTTAAGAATGATGAATAAAAGTGGTGTTGCCCCTCACCGCTGTGGATTCGAATCCCGACAAGGACATTGGATTCTTTCATGTGAGGAAGCTATCTAGCTAGCTTACGGAACGTCGGTAGTTCTACTCAGGTGCCTGTTCGTGCCTGAAATAATGCACGGAAGGGCACCCGAGGTCTTTCTCCTTCAGTAAAGCTGGAACGTCGCCATATGACCTATAATGTGTCGGTGTGACGTAAAACCCAATTAAACAAACAAACAAGTGTTGTGTGAGAAATAATACGAGTCATTTCGAGTTTATTTATAGGGATTCCAGTTGACTAATAATGCGAGCAGACTTCAGTGGTGTATGGTATATTTATTCTTTAATAGTACTTAATCGTTAATTTACAATATCTTTTGTTTTCTTAATTTCACCTACAGAGATGGCAACATAATCTAGATTGAATGTTCCAGGCTAAAATGTTAACAAAGAAATAATTATAGTAATCACACTTGCATTGAATGTCGAATTACTAGTAAGTCCCGTATATACAGGTTTTTTGAAATTCTTATGTACTTACTTGAAATATCAATTAGATGCAATTAAATGTAAACAGTTAATTCAATATCACATGGCCGATACTATTATGTTGCTGAACTTGACTCATGAAAGACAAAGGTTCAAACCCACTAGCTGATTGTCTAACCAAGATGACCAGTATTGACGAACACCTTTTAGTGAGTCTCTTTACTTCAGAGTAAATTGCTATGTCGGGAATTGGTGCAAATGTTATAAAAAAATTATGTTATTTTATATCAAAAGTGCATGTATATAACTAGTAGGTAATTATATCGTAACTTAAATGTCAGTGACAATCTCCAAATGGACAATAAAACAATTAGAGACACGCAATTACCTTTTTCTTTGAATCTTGAATCGTATAAAAGGAAGCAAATATGCTGATTAATTTAAACAGATTGACTTACCTGTCACACATCCATTATTATCAAATAGACTTATGAAGCTATAATTATTACATCTTATGGATTGACATTTAAAAAATGTGTATTTCGATAACGTTAATACATTATTAGAAAATCGTTTGATGTTGCTCGTAATGTATCTATATCTACTCAACTGAAATATCTGAATTTATGTAATAAACTTATAGACTAAGATTACACTGACTGATATTCCTCATTACGTTGTTAGGAAGCATTATCAATATTGAGAGTTTTTTATTCTTACTATTATCTGATTTGAATCTTTCATATGATTTAATAAAACATATTAAAAGCATTTCCTAGGTCAATATGTTTTTCGTACAAGATTGTTCCCTACCTTACAATACACTGGGATGTACAAATGTGACTTGCATGTCAAGCTCCGAAGCCTATTCAACCAAAGGCTGCTAGTCACTATATTTGACACCAAACATCTCGCTTCGGGAGCTCAACTTACCGTTGTAATGCAAGATACCATAATACTCTAGAATTTTGCCCTCTGGTGTCCAGCGTAACGTATTAAATTTATTTCAATTCTATAACTGGCATTTTTTAATTTTACCGAAATATATATACAGTATATAACTGTTTTATATTTGTTCCCGTAGTGTGAGACATTTGTCCGCACATTTATTTATGTTACATATATAAATGAAACGAAACATTCCAAAAGCTCATGGTACAGAATGTTTAATTCCTAGACAATAATACATAACTATAGCTTTGACTTAGCTGAAATTTATCTGGTCAAGGTCCCAATGAGAAAAAGCGTGATTCAGTTAAGGCTCGATTTTACCTCAAAGTAATCATTTTTCAACAGAGAGCATTAATATATATATTCATCTGGAATAGTCTGACGAAAATAGTGCGTTGAATTCCTAAGTCAGTCATCCATGCTGTTCAAACCCATAATATGTCTCATTCCCACTGCCGAGCTCTTCGTTACTATCATTCTCATCCTTACCCATCATTTCCTTCTTTATCTATTGCTGTTGAAAAGCAGTAAGCGACCTTGCCAATGGCTTATCATCTGTTAATAATCCAGAAGCTGTCATGATATACTATGTTTATATTAAATAAATGGATAGTGAGTCTTGATGGGATGAATGACCTTTTGCACCTTGCTTTGTATAGAACTTATGTAATTCGAATTTCATTATATAATCATTTTGAAAAATATATCAAGTAAGGAAATGTTGATGAATCATTTAATATAGACAAGAAATATTAGTAGAAATAAATGAATTAATTAATCTATATATTTATTGTCGCTTGTAAGCGGCAATTCTTATTTCACATTTTAAAGGTTGAAAGGTACAATGTTTAGACCAAAATACTAAAAATGACTTCTTGACCATGTAGAACTCATGGTACATAAACATATAAAGTTTTCAAGCAATAGCATCTTTTTCGTATTGAAGTAAATTACTATAAACCAACATCACCGTTGACGTCGCTGGGTTAGTTTTGGCAAAAACTGAGCTTTTTCTTCTATAAAATACAGTGTTACCCATCTGTACTAACACAAACCTAGCATTATGTTGCTATAATTCCAAACGAAGAACAAGCTAATGTTTATTTAACAGTGTATTAAAATTAACGTTATTTTGCTAAGCATATGTGTACGATGATTATATCAAATTATTTCTTCTTTGTAACTTTATCTATATATTAGATTATCAATATCTCAAAATATAAAAAGTATGATGTATAAACAAGATACCATTACAGATAGGAGGAACAGGATATACTGTGATAAAAACAAACAAAAACTTAAGGAATTAACAATTTATTATAAATACTTTTTGTTCAATATAATACACCAAATTTAATTTAGTTCTTCTTACAAACCGCATGTATTTCCACAATTCGTTCTCTATCAGTAAAACAAGCACAAACGTATAAAATATAACAAAATGAGATAAAACTGTACAATGATGACGTGAGGAAAAGTGGAAATTTCAGCATATAAAATTTAATTTAAACAATAAAAAAACATAACAGTATCAATAAAACACTATCTGCAACAGTTCCTTTTCACATCATAATATCTGTTATTAAGACTGCTTGAACTTTTCAGGTTAGGTAAACGTGGCTTCATGTACCTATATGGCAAACAGGACATTTATTCAATGCAAATTTTCCGACTGAAATTGAATAAGCAATATGTATTGATTTATCATTTTCGTAGAAAATTTAATCTATCATTTATCCGGATTTTACAATTTAATCACACACAAATTACAACGACTACGGAATTGAAATTGGAGACTAATCTTAATATTTCGCCTTTATGCTGTGTTCTAAACAATCCACTGTTCTGACCATCTCACCAACATAATATAGCATTGTATAAAAAGGGGAAAAACGTTAATCATACCGAACCTACGGAATATAAAAAATATTTTTTTTTATCTTTATACAAAAAAAATTTAAAATTGAGAATTTAAAATATTCAAGCAGATGCTCTAATTTTCCTAAATAAAACACCAAAATATTTGTCAACGATTTGTTATAAAGGGTTATAAAGCAAAATTTGTAGACGTATTCTTATACTACACACAATCTACAAAATCTATATTTCATAAAAAATCAATTAATTGTCATAATGTTTACATAATGTCTCCTGGTATGAACATACTTGATTTAGTTACGAGATTTACAAATGAGGAAACATTTTGTTAACAGTTTGTTATAAAACACTATGAAACATAAACGTTACAATAAAAAATGCCTCAAAAAACATCAACCCACTTTCACGCGCACGTAATTGCAACATGTGTCCCATTTCTAATCTAATTTGCATCGACGTTTCATCAATAAATTATATCGTACATTCAATAAATCAGAGTCAACAATTTCGTTTTGCAAACGTTTACATAAACATCATTTGTGAGCATATCAATGAAGACGAATTGAACAACAAAACCTGGAGTAAATGTGTCGCTGGATGCTTTCCATCCTTAGTAACATTTAAACGTGTTCAATAAACATACGAAAATTGAAGTTTTAAACAAGAATTCTTTGCCACACTTATTCTAAGATAACGTCCAGTGATACAGTCAGAAAATTGAATTAAATAAGAAGAAAGAAATAGCATTCACGACATGCACGCAATCATGCAGACTTTGGCGATGTTCGGATGAAAATATTTACAAGCACTTTTGCGATATGTATGAGCATAGTTTAAAAATTGACAGTTAATATAAGTCAAAGAGGTCACAATTTATATAAAAAAATGATAAAGAACCTTTCATTTGAACGCATCAAAACATTTTCTAATGTCCTTTGAAACAAGGTAAGGCTGAAATGTTGCATACAATATTTATATACTTATGAATTTATGTATTCAAAAACTTTTGTATTTAACATAAAACAAATATTTGAATATCTTTTTTTATCGAATTGTTTTTATCCAGTTGCTATTGAAATAAATATTATCACAAATGACTCTCTCCAGCACGATTTGATGGTAATAAAAGTCGCCGTTCCCGCTTTTGGCTAGATGATTCATCAACATCACTACCAGCCCACCCAGGCGGACAGTCTAACGACACTGGTCGTTGGTCAATATTTTTCAATTTAGGACGTGGACTCGCTGGTATTGTCCGGCGTTCTTCACTTCCTTCTGGGAATGAATTCGATGACATGAAAGATAACCCGGGTCTAGGACTCTGAACTAGTGGTCTTCTTTCTTCGTTTGGTAAAACTAAAGGACGTAACAAAGTCCCATCTTGCAACGGAAAACCAAGTTTGTTTTCATTACCCATAGGATTTGGTCGAACGGGGAGTGTTGGAACAGAGAGTAATAAATTGTTGTCATACTGTTTGTTAGGTTCATTAAATACTGTTTCACATTCTTTTGATTTTCTTGGTTCTTTGTATGAACCATTTGTTCCGAAGGATATGTCAGAACTAGGAAAATCACATTTGTCAGAATCACGAGTCGGAATTAGTGTATTCGCTTTGGAATGATTATCATCTATAGATTGATTTAACCGACCAGTTAAAAGTGGTCGCGAGCCTCTAAAATGTAAGTTAATGTCTGAATCATGTTTACGCAATGTCATTGTAGGCCTAACATCATCGTCGTCATCAACATTTCCGGTAATATTACCTACTTCTTCATCACATAACTTTTCGTCCTCTTCCCAGTCTATAAGAGACATTTCGTCAACTTTACTGTTGTCAATGGAATCAGTTTTTGATATGCTTGGTTGTTTAGACACTTTACCTTTTTTAAGTGCCACAGGTGGATTAAAGTCTTCAACTTTATTAGTAGGTCTTAGATGAAGATATTTTTCTCTGAATCTTGACTTTTCGTTTCCAGAACTAGCACATCTACGAACACTCCAGCTTTTACCAGAGTCTTTAGCTGACGAGCGAACCTGCTTGACTGAATACGTATGCCTACATATATGTTTGCGTGAACTAGAACTTTCTAATGTCCCTAACAAAGGTTGGGACTGTGTGTGCTTATCACTGTGCATTTCCTTATCATTTACTCCTTCTACACATCCTAAAGTTTGGGTGCTTGAAGGTATTTTACTGTGCCAAGATACAGCCTTTTCTTTTCTACTTTTCAGATTAATTTGTTGTTCACTGACTGGTCTAATAAGACAATGTTCCTGCATGTCTTTTAAACTCGGTGTTGGTGTAGAGACAGCGCTTCGTATAAACTTAGAGCTGCCTTCATCATAACTTGAATCACTAGAAAATCTCTCCCGGATACTCATTCTGCCGTCCATTGATGATATACTCGGTACTTTAAGAGTATTGTTATCATTGTGAACATTGATTGTAATCGACATTGGATTCAAAAACATTTCTGAAAAACAAGATGGAAATAAAGTATCAGAAAGAATAACTACATGTATTTGTTATATTGTTTATCATTATCAAACTAAATTTGCCCCGCCATTATTTTATTAGAAGTGCTGTGCAGGTAAGTTATGTATACTTTATAAACTTTACTAAGTCATTTTCTAATAATTTAGATAGTTATACCTTGTTTCGTATTTAGTACATGTGTTTGCTATATGCCAGTTGACTTGCAGGCACTTTTAATAGAAAAACAATCCCCAATTGACACAACAAATACGCTGGTAGACAGAACCTTTACATTCTCTTTAACAAGAATTGTTTTAATTATTTTCTTCATTTAATCTTTTTTTGTTATTGTTGTAAATCATTATACTTTCATTTTTTTTGAGCGTTTTTATTGTAATAAAGAAATTATGTAACATTAGATTAAATGATGTGAAATAGAAACTGTGTACCTTTCCGATCATTCGAAGCCCATAAAGTTGCTGTAGGACTTGGTGGGCATGGCTCACAACTTGGTGGTCGGAGTGTAAAAGAAGGAGGGGGTGGTAATAACATATTTTCTGTATCATTGTCATTTTTATCATCATTTCCTGGAGGTTTGTTCTAAAAGAAAAATGAATATGATTTTCTTTGAAATACGTAAGTCATGTTAACATTAAACTAAACATAACAAAAACAAACAAGAGCTCCGAAAAGGTTTTGGACAATGTGTAAGAATGGAAAGGGCAATAACTACAAAATGAGCATTCCACAGTTACTTTTCTTGCGCACGACACTTCCACTCAATGAGATCTATTTACCTACAAAATTTCTTGTTTACACCTTTTGTAGTTGCAGAGTTATGTCCCGGAAAAATCGTTAAAAAGAAAAATGGGCAATAAATCCAACACAAGGCAATACATAGTAACGGTTCTTGTGCAATGAACTTTTACTACTCAATAAGACCTATCTACTAATTAAGTTTCTTGTTGATATCTCTTGTAGTTTCAGAGCTATGTCCTTCACAAAGTTCGATGTATAAACATTATAAAAATGAACAAAGGACAAAAACTCCAAAATTAGGCAAGGCAGAGTTACGATTTTTTTGCACTGCACTTCTACACAATGAGATCTATCTACCTACTGTCTTGTTAATATCTCTTGTAGTTTCGGAGTTATGTCCTGGATAAAGTTCTAAATGTAAAAATGAACAAAGGGCAATAACTCCACAATTAGGTTAGGTAGAGCTTCGTTTTTTGTACTGAACTTCTACTCAATGAGATACATCTATCTACAAATTTTGTTGTTTATACTTCTTGTAGTTTCAGAGTTATGTTCCGGACAAGAAAAGCGGACGGACGGGCGAACAGACGGTCCGACGGACAAGGCGGAGAAAAGTAGATAATTTTAAACTAAATGTTCTAATCTTTTACGTATTTAAAAATGACCTTTTCTCAAAAGAAATCCCATTACAGCAATTAATGAAACACTTACGATTGTATACTCTTTCACTTGCTTTCGGAAAAGTGCTTCAAGCTCAACTTCATCATCTATAACTTTATGTGAATCCTGAAATATTTCAATGCAATTTATTATAATTTGTTATAAGCAGATATTTTTCTTTATAAAATAAGCACTGAATCCATAGTTGAAATTAGATATGTTTCGTTTCCAATATTTATTCATAAAGATGATCATAACCGTTTACAGAAAATTTCATTACGTTCAGGTAATATAGATTTAAAATTGAAAGTTCTGTACGTATGAACAATTAGCTTTTTGAATTGTCTTGCTTTTGAACAGTATCTCCGAAGTAAAAGGGATCTCAGTATCAACATATATGAACTGAATTATAAACATAAATTTAAAGAGCCTGGTTAGTCTGCACACAGTACATACCGCTTTGACTTGTTACCGGTGTAAAAGATTTATTGCTTTTGATAATTCAGAGAATTAGAATATGTTGAAAGCAATATTAGTAAATATAAAATTAATCAAAAACCAATATCGTTTAATCGCTCTCAATCATAGCAAAGGATGCTAATTATTGTCAGTACAAATTAAAGTGGGATTGAAAGGTAGGTTAAAACTGTAACCTCTCTTAAGCACTGCGTTTTTCAGTAGAATTGTATCTTTCGATTTGCAACTTGATATCACTATTAGATCGTGAGATAGCATTCTTACAAGAACCTATGCTTTTGCAAAATAAGCGAAAGCAAAATTAGTCAGTCGTTATCAATTTGAGTCTAATTGAAAATATAATGATGAAGGTTATGTAAGTTCTATATTCGAACTTAACTCTAGTACTGTTCAGATAATAATTACGTTATGCTACAGGGATGTCATTGATGTATGTATTATAACTAATGTAAGGGAACTAAAAAGGGAAATAAAGAAACAAGAATAAACCAAAGTACATAATGAACTGACGGAAGGACGGTAGGTCGGAGAAGAACTATATAAGATTTTATATCTTTCGTTCTAATCCATTTCATCATTGTATATATTGAATGATTGTATATTATGTACTGTGTATGATTATGAATAAAATATGTTTAAACTAAGGACGGTAGGTCTTGAAAACTCATTCATAGATGATTTTATTTCGCAATCGAACAACACTTTATTGTGAGGAAAAAGGTCCGAAATTGAATAAAATCTTTCAAAATCATTAAAAAATGCTTCTAGGAATAATCCCTTCTGATGACTACGTCATATTATGCTACTGTTAGAACTGATAAAGGGAATTAACTGTTGTTAATATTCTCAATAGACATGGCTTTGTACTCGTAGAGATTGTTCATATAAAAGTGCATATATTTGTACTACTTGTTTGTTTTACTATTTTATTGATTTATTTATTCATTTATCTATTAATTTATTTATTTGTTTGTTAATTTTGATAAATGGCGAATTAAATTTTAAACATATGAATCGATATTTCAGTAGAACTATGAGATTATATCTGGATAATTTTCAATTTTAATGCAGCAAAAAAGCTAGAATTAAATGAGACAGTATTCAACTACAAAGTTATTGAAATAAACCAAGTACATAAGGCAGTTTTCTGAAATTCGTTATGATCTTCTAAAATATAACATTGTTATGTTATATATCTATCAATACAACCTTTATTTTCGCCATCTCATAGTTTTCCCTCAATGCTGTTCGTCTCATTACATCCATTTCCAACTTTAGCTCTTCCTCTACTTCATCATCTAATTCTTTGTATTTGTATGTTTCCTGATAGCACATGCAATGTCATAAAAAACCATTCAGCTTGTGAGTCTGGTAAAATGGTATTTCTCCATTCTTAAACTTATATAACTTACTTTCCTGCTATATTAGGTCATATTTTCAATATTAAGATCAGGTTCAAAGGATGTTATATTTACTGAAAATATCTAGTACTTGGATATTAGCTGTTTTAGTTTAAAAATACAAGATAAGGTGAGATAAAATCTGTATTGATGTACACATGAATACCGATTTATGGTCTCCATTATTTAAGAAATTCGAATATACCATTTTACCTCCAATAAATATGTGGTTAAAAGTGAGTGTTAGTAAATCATACTTTTCAATATTAGTATGTAACAGACACCCTTTTATGCAAAAAAAAAATTGAAAAGTAAAAACGAGAATAAATGCATATGGATCGAGAATATCCAATCATTCCAACAGGATCATGCGAACTCTCAAAATTGCCATATACAACATTAATTCAAATTAAAAAAACTGTGTTTGTCAAATGAAAAGTAAATAACATGATATTTGCTACACTGTTGTTAAGTTTTTGTTATTTTAAAACATACCATTTACTTTTGAGAATACAGAAATTATCAAACATATAAGGTGTTCAAAAAAACTTGCAATATTTAAACTTGCGTTAAGTCATACATTAAGTCAATCATTTTTCTTTTTAGAGACAAATCATTTAAACAAGCGCCATGCGTTTAGTGACCATGATTTAACTGCTTAATAACTGAATATAAAAATATAAAAAATAATTCTCATTCCCAGCAGTAATATATAAATGTCACTTATATGGTACATATATACGTGTATATTACTGCTCTCTTACATGCTCATTGAAACATCAATAAAAATAAAAACAAATATAAAGTTCTCTCGAAACTACGAGATCTCAGTAATACGTGCTAGTTCCCATATCACAAATTGTTACATAACCTTTTCGTAACCTTTGTTATCATTTGCATACCATATTTAGTAACAATGCAACAGTATTTGCTCGATTATTTAAACGTACCTCAAGGTGTTTCATAAGAACAGCCACAACGACATTTACTAGGACAAATTGTGCCATCAAAACAAACACAACAAAGTAGACCGGAGCTATTACGTAATTCACGCAGCAATTCTTCAAGCAGTTATCGCTGTTGTCACAGTCGGTTCTCAATGTGTCCTTTAAAGATAAAATTTGAATCATCGTTTAGATTATATATTTATGTTTTTTTTAAATTATATTTGTTTTGTTGTTGAAAACGAACTTTCATAGTAAAAAACTAATTAGCTAATCTATAGTTATACATGTTCGTCATAATTTTTTTTCAAATTGATATCTTTATTACAATAAAAAATACAAAAAGGCAAATTATCCTCCATAAACATCATATCATTATATCAACATAATTAACACATTTATTATCTCATACGTCATATGTTTACAGAGCATACATAAGGGCTATTTTTTCTTGTTGTGATTATTTTTTTCGGAGTAAATTTCTGCTTAGATAATACAACTCTTGTTAGACTTACCTTCATTATTCCGTTCCAGTTGTCTCCCGTGGCAACACGAAATAATGTTAAGAATGCCATACCAAAGTTTCTGAAATGAGCATGGACTCCAAGTCCTTCACAAGGATGTTCTTCAGAACACTCTGTAAGAAAACAATCATCAAAAGCTAATAATTAGCATGATGTTTACCTGTCAATTTTGCTTCATTTTACGAACTTTCAAGACTATGATCTTTTATGATAAAAAATATAAATTAGTTTATAGTTTATGGGGACATTGTTCATTCTTTAAATTTTCATATTGGTTGCAAATGACATTCATAGTCTTTAATATGATCAATCAAATTTATATTTGCAAAATCCGTCTTAATTATCTGATATATTCGACATTTTAAAGACTGATTTAACAATTATCTAATATATTCGACATTTTAAAGATTGATTCAACACTTACAATACTTGTTTGTAGTACGTTTTAATAAATGATATCATACCTAGACGTCCAAAAAGTTCGACACCAAGAGCCGCAAAAATGAAAAACAAGAGAAAGAAGAGGAGTCCGAGGTTTCCAACTTGTGGTAATGCTTGAATAACCGTGTCTAACAAAGCTCGAATACCTTTTGCCATTTTCAACAACTTCAGTACTAAAATAAAGAAAACGGATTTTGTCAATTCAAAATAAATGAGATTATTAGTTTAAATTATCTTCTTATAACAATTGTCTACTTAAAACAGTATGAGAAAATCTAAATATTTTCCTTATGTCGCTTGCTAACTTAAATTTCATTTTGGTTTGTTTTTCTTTTCTCGTGTAATATTTTTGTATTTGTTTGACATTGGGTTGCATGTTTACAAAATTTCATCTATAAAAACTTTTCTCTTTTTTGAATTATTCAATCTGTCTCTGTGTTTCCAGACTATTAACTAATCAAAACGTTGTGATTGATGCCGTATATCACCTTCGAGAATTATCGAGAATCATTCAATCATTCTGATTCTGTTAATAGATATACCTTTGATTTTAATCCAATTTGATAAACACTTTAACAAGATTACATGTCAAAATAAAACATTTTAACTCGAATATTTATTCAAAATTTATTAACTTCCAAAAATATTAAGAATCCAATTCATTTAAGTTTAACACGACTCTTTCAAATCTAAGTCACTCGATTCATTTAACTCACAAGTCTATGTTCTCAATATCGTGTATCATATTTGTCTCTATTTACAGTATGCAAATTATTTCAGTGTCAATTTTCATAACGTGTGTTTTGTTCCGTACACAGGGGCAACGATAATGTGGTGAATCAGTAAAGTAATTTCAAACTTTGTATCTTGACATTGTTGAATGGTCTTATGAGCAAGAGCAGAGGGACAACGTTTTCATGATTTGTGAGTCTTTTGGTTTTGAAGGTGCAATAAAGTTACCTGTCTGTCTGTTATTGTGTTAAATATTGTTGAACTATAATAACATTTTGTATTGGTATTTACGATAAAACATTTTATTCTTTAAGTTATGTAATATGTAGAAAGGGTTTTCAGATTTTGTTCTGTACTGTATAAGTTTCGATACACTATTTTAAGACTTAAGATAAACAGCGGGTTAAAGCATCCAATAATGTTCGAAAACAAATATCCTTGTTCAATTCCAATCAAAGCTTTATTCAACTTTCTATTCATTTAAGAGATTTGTAAAATAACCATGCATTTATCATGAGCATGTTAAATTATAGCTTTTCGGTAACACTCCTAAAAACATTGACAACTAATATCTCAAATAATCCACAAGAGTCGTGCTGCGTGTTTTAAGGTCATATTAAGAAATGTTTGAAACAATTACCTCTTGCAATTCTGAGAACTCTCATTACCCGGATGATTGTTGGATTGATGGGGATGACATTTGTTTTCATTTCTTCTAGGACAATGCCGACAATGGAGAGAATAACGATGAATATATCAAGTTGGTTCCATCTGAAATAAAGTAATAATAAAGTCTTTTAAATACGCTAAAGAAAAATAATAATGACATAATGTATATATGTAACAAGCATTTTTACATAAAACCGTGTACTGTTTGTAAAATCTGGAGAAATTGGAAAACCCTGTGAAAGTATCTTGTTAATAATATAATACATATTCAGATATACATGCCTCTACTGAAAGAAGACGACACATCTAATGAAAATTGAAGGAGAAATCAATATCGAATTTCACATAGTTTCAAAATGAGAATAAACCTACCTATCTCGGAGATATCTAAGGCTTCCAAGTGCTATTATTTTCATAGCTGCTTCAAGAATGAACACAGATGTAAAGAAATAATTGAATATTTGAAGGGCAAATTGAAGTTCCTGTAATAGAAAGATGGTAATAAAAAATTGAACATTTAAAATGAGGAAAATCTTTTTCAAATGATTAACAAACCTAGCGTTATTAAAAAATCAAGTTTTTTCCTTAATTTATTTTTTTGAATAACTGATTGATATTAAATGCAGAGGTCAGTAACATATACTTATGATGTGTTCTCGGACTTTGAAATTTCTTCCGAATTGTACATGTACTAATTTGTATAATATCTAAGTTGTCAATTTGCAATTTGCACACCTCACTGTGTATTTCTGTTTACCAGGAAATGAGTGAAAATAAAGAATGGAATAGAATTATGCACATTGCATTTAATTATAACTCACTCACTCGTAAATGTATTTAAATGTGACACTAGTGGTTCATCTTGATACATTTAATGGACTTTAAGAAAGTAAATGCAAACCTGGGGCATCATGTAAAACTCCAGAGCCATTGTAATAACGTTGAGACCAATCACACCAGCAATAGCAAGGTCAAAGTATTTGCTGTTTATCACCGTGTATATGATCAGTCGTGGTTTTCCATATTTTGCCCAGTATGGACATTGCTGCAAACCTATTAATATTTAAAACATCATTTGTTATCATGTATCAACATTTATAATGAAAACCTAACACTAATATAATATATAGAAACAGCGGTCGAACATTAATGTGAATAAAGGCAAAATAAACTTATACAACTTGATTATCATTTTAGGCAAAAAAAAAATATTTCTTAAAGTCGCCAATTTGTTATGTCTAGATAATTGAGTAAATTACCTATTATTACAAACATTTAAAGTAAACATTAATACTACAAGCAAATAAACTCTCATTATGCTTGATTCTTTAGCTTGTTTTGACAGTGAAGATCTTTCGATTGATTACACTATTTCTATTTCATACGGTCTATCTTGATAATGACTAGAAAAAATGTTTGAAAGAATACAATGTATCCATATTTCCCCCATATCGTTTACTATGAACATAAAATCGCTAAATACAATGGTAGTTGTGTGTGATATTTACCACTTACAATATCAATAATTTTAATGATATCAATATCAGTTAGTGTTGACATTTGATTTGTTTGGAAAGTAAAGGCCCTGTCACACCAGACTGCGCTTTCACTGCATTTGCACGGCGTTGTAAAATTTAACAAAGCGCCGCGAGATCGCAATAAAAAATGTGATATTTCTGTTGACATAAAACTTCATGGAGTCTTCACGGCGTCCCCACGGCAATCATGGCGATGTTACGGAGCTTTCACGGCGTTTTAATTGACGATTGTCTTCGTTCAGATCGCGCTTCTACGACGTTCTTTGCGCTTTCACTGCGCATTTACGGCGCTCATACTGCGTTATCGCGGCATTCACACTGCCCTGAAATCGTAAAGCTCTGTAAAAGCGCCGTGCACACGCAGTATAAGCGCGATAAATACGCCGCACAAACTCCGTACAAGCGCCGTGGATAACCACCGCGTTCATTCGGCGTTCCTTTTGCGCTTTCACGGCGCTCCTGTTGCGTTGTAGGAAATGCTACGGAGTTGCTACGGCGTCCTATCTGCGATCCAACTGCGATCATTTTAGAACGCCGAGTGACGGCGTTTGTTTTGAACATGCTCAAAATGCGCGCCGTCGGTCGACGTTCTATGCGATGCCACAACGATGCTACGGCGATGCTGCGGCGATGTTTGCGATCTTACTGCGCTCACCTCGGCGTTCTTAAGTTTCACTGGACGCCGTGAGAACGCCGTCCTAGTGTGACAGGGGTTTTATGTACAAATGTGTCGTGTTTCCCTAAGTAAGTTGACACGTAGATACTTGTTTAAAAATACGTCATTTATATTGTACTTTTGTCATGTATGTTTAAATGAACAAAATCGCATAAATCACCAGCAGTATTATAAATGTATTTAACGATATCATTTATAGGACAGAAAAACCCGACAGACAGGCGAAACTAATCAAAGGAGGTCATATAATGTCACAAGTTGTAAACACGCAAAAACACTGACAGACAGACAGGTAGACATACACATTAATACATGTTCTCTGTGTATGAGAAATATCTAGAGAAGTATTATTGTAAGTGCACATTATTTTACATCATTTATAATATCCGCCCCCGTATTTCCGACAGTTTGTTACACGTATTCTTAATATTGTTGATTAACGACCGTTATTTGAAGGGATAAACGTGCTTCAGAAATATAATGTTTTCTGCTGTAAGTTTCAGCTATCTATAATTGAGATCTTGCCTGATGCAGGCCTTCAATTAGACCTGTCAGATTAACAGTTGTGCAAACTTTCTAGCTAAATGAGTTTCTGTGTCTAGTTTCTCTAGTACTTACAAAATGAGACATTTTGTTACTCAAAGAACTTTTGCTAAAACTATACTAATGTATTTTGGTAAGTTATAAGATTGAAGATATTTAGGTTGGTATTATATGGGTTGATAGAACAATGACAATTAGACGATTGCATGTTTAGTGACACTAAACAAAGACGTCAAGATTAAATGTCAATGCAGAAGGAAAATACAGAGATTGTTTGTTGTTATACGACACTAGAAATTTAAATAATTTAAACATTGTTTTAAATTGAATAAATCCAGTAATTATTATTGTGATAATTTAAGTTCAATGTTAGTTATTTTCGTATTTTAAAGGGCGTTCGTGGGCGAGTGGTTAAGGTCGTTGACTTGAAACAACTTGACTCTTTATTTGTGTCAATTAAATCCGTACTGGTGATATTATTCATATACTGGTTTAAGCGAGATATACAATAATCGCATGAAAATTAATATCCACGTTTTGCTCATTTCCAACTGTCAGGTTGAACAAAATGAGCAGTATGTTTTAAGATATTGTGTAATAAAATGGTTATTGATTAATAATTGATCATTACACATGTTGAGAGTAATTTAACAAAAAAAACTGTCGAACATAAAAAACAAACAATACACATACACGGAATTTTCTGTGTTGATTATTGATTATTTATGCAATGAAAATTTATAATTGAAAAAGATTATGGGAAATGTATTTAAATTGTAGTTATTTGACAATTAACCGTATGTTTATCAATTATACTTTGACCATAAACATTTCCTTACCAAACGTGAGAAAACAGTAATAATAGCGCGTTATGCCGATTTAATATTGAACAGTAAATGGTATTAAAATATTTATTTGAAAGTTTCTTAAATTCTACGAGATAACAATCCGAACTAAAGTGTTCATTCCATTTGGTTTAACACACAGATATATGTGCAAACATATTGAAATTCAATTCCAATACACATGCATTTTTGATTATTGTAAAATCGTCATACATGAGAGCAGTGCGATGATTATAGCTACAGAATGAATTATACTGCTTTGACGGATCCAACAAGTTTAGCTTTCAGAATGAAAAATGAAAAGAAAAACAACTTTCAAGGATTAGGAACATAAAAACATAATCAGTTCAATGATGAAATAGACGAAGTAATAACAGGAACAGTAACATGCAGGAAACAAGTAACTGACAATGCGACAGACATAACTAAACAAGCCTCACACACGTGTTTGCCGTATCTTTCAAAAGTGAACACAAAAATATGTTGTTTTAAAACCAATTATTTGGCTATATGATAAAACGTCACTGTGAAATTTTGCGCAAATCTGCAGTCAAAGCGCAAACTCATTGGCTTGAATTCTCATCAACATCTAAAATGCATGCCTGGTTATTGTAATGTCCCAGACAGACAAATCATGGTTGCGTACATAGAGGCTTTCCACAGTTGCTAAATATTTGGTTTAGAAGACTTGTTCAAACTTTAAACAAACAAGAAAGTATGATTGGTTTAAAATTAGATTAGTTCAGACCTAATATTGTACTGTAAATCAAATTAAAATCATAAGAATGTAAACAAAGACGTGCTTAACTCAACAGAACTTGTAGATTGTATAGTATATCATTTCAGTCTATAGTGCATGTTGATCAATTAAAGTAGAAAGCATTTATGTGTTTTCAAACTTTACCTCCAGGAGATATCAACTCTGTTGAAAGAGTTTGAAATAGTTTCAAATCATCTCTATATTAATATATTAGTGTACATACATGTAGCTCTAGACAAAATTTAAGGCATGCCTGTTACATTTACAAAACGTAATATATTAAAAATTTGCTAGTAATATTACTTATGTTGTCTTAAGTTACAATTCGTTCTCTAATACTTTGCAAATTGTCTTTTAAAAAAAGTATTCGGTTTAATCTTCCGCAGCTTTTAAAACGCATGTTGATTATCGTTTTCTCAACATTTAAAATGAGTATGTATGGCTATTAACTTCGTGTGAAGGAACTATAATACCGTAATAACCTAGACAACCACTTTACCATAAATTATAAAAAATATACTGTGATATAATTGACAAACTGTCTTTAAATAGTGAAAACTAGAGGACAATTACTTCTGTGTGAAAAACAATATTATATCTATGACAACACTATCAGATATACATATATAGATAAAATATCGAATGCATATGAGCCGCGTCACCACAAAACCAACACAATGGGTTTGCGACCACCAGCCTGCGCATCCGGGCAGTCTGATCAGGATCCAAGCTGTTCGCTACTCGACCGTAAAACAAGTAAAGAAACTGATAGCGAACAGCATGGATCCTGATCAGACTGCGCGGAGGTGCAGGCTGATCTGGATCCATGCTGGTCGCAAACCCATTATGTTGGTTTTGTCGTGACGCGGCTCATATAATATATAGCATCAACGTCGTGGCTTCTATAATTGTATATACATTGATATGATTTGTGTATCAACAAATATCACGTTTATCTGTTTCTATTTTAGTAATAACGCCATTACATTGTAAAATGTCAATCATTAAGTCGGACACAGAACATTTATTTACCTAAGATATATATCATTAAATTTTTTTCTGATAACATTTTGTAAAATAAAAAGGAATTTTGAAAACGGTTAGGTTATTACAAAGCAGGCGTTAATGATATAAACAAAGAATTATATATATAACAACCTCGTCGTTTCTTGTCAAGTTTTTGCTGGCGTTTCTCGGCTCTCCTAGCTTTTTCTTCTATTTCCTGGGATTCTCTACATTTATGAAAGTTTTCCACAACAACCCCGACAAACATATTCAGTACAAAGAAACCGACGAGCAGCAGAAATGAGATGAAGAAAATTAGCCGCCATTCATTGTAGTTCTGAATAGGCTGAAAATATCAAAGTGTAAAATTATTATTTAATGAAAAGTCGTCACGTAAAGCCAATCAATATAGTAACTTCTTCAACACAAAAACTAGTTGATATTAATGGTCATTTATACACAATTCTCAAGGTTACGTCTTTCCAATTATATGATTATTTAATTACTATTCGTTAAGAATATAATGACATTATATGGCTAATATATGAATGACAACTTACTTGTTGATCAACACCTACAGCATCCAGCCCTGTATACATGATGCTCACCCAACCATCTTTAGAAGCCAGTACAAACAATGCCATTAAAGCCTGAAACAACAAATATTTATAGATGTAATCTCACATCAATTATTACATCATACAATCTTTTTTTATATAAAAGTAGAACACGAAACTATCAAATACCTACGTGCAAGCAGTGACTTTCTTAATTTTTATATAATGCTGAAATTAAATAAGCTTTCATGTTCTGAAGTTTCGGGAACGTTTCTTGTACAGTATTTATTCTACGGGGATAAATTAACATTGTTGTAATATATTTGTAAGCTTTAGAAAAATGAAAAATGAATAAACAAATGTTTATAATAGTTATATAAGGAACGAACGTTTTATAAAACTTTATAAAGTATAAAAAATATGTAATGGCTATAGTTTATTTGTTATATATAAACAATGTTACATTACATATTTTAAATATAGATATGTACTCCTTGATAAATCATATATTAACAATGTCATAAAACAATGTCCTTCGATTTCATAAAAAATCATTATATAAGCAAATAAAAGACATATTTATTGCTGCCATTACTTCAAAATACACTTTTACCATTTAATTCAATAATTATTGCAGTTGTTCTGATATTATTATTTACATAACTTGTTCGGTTAACATTTTGTTACGTTTGTTAACACAAATATCTGACTAGATCTGGGCGTGTTTGGTGGGCTCATTATATTTTCTGCAATGACGCCAGATAAGAGATACAAATTTAACAAAAGTAAACACCACACTCTCGAATGAGCAACTTGAATATTATAAACAAAAACAACAGCATTTGTTCTTGTTGTTGCTGTTTTAATTATTAGAATTACGTCTAAGTTAATCACTTATCAAGATATACTTGTAACCATTGTAGTCATAACGTTCATTTATGATGATCGCAAATGTTCTGAATGTAATGTTTTAGAGGACGAGTTTCACTTTGTTTTACAATGTAATAGATATATTAACCAAAGAAAGCAGTTTATATCGCCATATTATTGGAGACACCCAAATATGATAAAATTTATTGCTCTTATAAACTCTGATAATGATACTATTATAAAAACGTCTTGCATGTTATATTGAAAAAGCTTTTAATAGTAGGAACAACACTATTTTCTTTCAACGTTATAAAGGTAATTAAGGTGCAGTAAACTTTGTCAACTGTGCAACTTAAGTAATTGTAAAATGAAAATAGTAAATATATCTTTTATTTTAGTGTATACACGATATTGCTAAGCAAATATTTGTTTTACCATACGTCAATGTTGTTGCCTTCGTTTTTCGGACAAGGCTGACAAATATGGTCTTCTCAGATAATATATTATCTTACTCATTCAGCGAATCATTGTTACCAGAAATACTAAAATCGTAATATGCTTTTCGGTAAACTGCATATATCACTTAGTTATCTATGTATTTTGGACAGTTTATATTCATATCTGTCACCAGTTTTCATTTCTATATGTTTGTAATTATGTAAACTGTTATATATGCAAAACTCTATACCTTTTGCTAAATAAGTTTTGTTTACTGTTACGTACACTGAAACGGAAATATGTTCGTTAATATTATTTATGCAGGTCTTATATGCTAGTATGTAAATTGCCTTATTTGTAATTTGTACTGTGCATTTTGCCACATGGGCCGTTGACCTTCTGGTTTGATATGAATAAAACTTTGAAATTTTGAAACTTTTTATAAGTAGTCATAACATTCATCTATAGGTAGCCATACCGTTCACTTATAGGTAGTCATACCGTTTACCGTATAATTACATTTTTAACAACTTACCTGCCCAAGATTGTCGAAGTTGTATTTTTGATTGATCCATACATTTCTTTTCTGTGCAAGACACTGGGTTTTGTTTTTGATATCAGAAACATTCGGTCCTTTACAATAGTAGAATGTTCCTTTAAATAACTGTAATTGATAGAGAAAAAGTTTCAAATAATCTGATATGAAAAAAAGAAACAAACTAATCTTTCTGCATTTAGAAATTAGAAACACCACGATAACGTAGAGAAACAAAATGTGTAAGTCTCAACTTCCTACTTGGTTTGTACTAAACGGAGATACACTATGATTTGTAGATACAATAAAACTTAATAGTGTTGGCCTTGTTTAAATAACACAGGACATTTCCTGCTTCGAAATAAAAAAATATCCATCGTTACCTAATTAGATTTGTAACATACATGTATTACAAACAACAATATAGAGCTAGACGCTTTCTTCACCACTGGGACAAAGTCGAGGCAGAGCAATAACAATTAACCTGCTGAAACCAAGGCTGAGAGCCTTTTCCACCACCCAGAATGTTCTAAATTTAAATCAGGGCGAATCTATTATACACATTCAGCAGGTTAAGGTTTGTTGAGGTCGCGTAAAACATATAAAATACCTGTACACCGAGTATTCCGAATATGATGAAAAATGTACAACAAATGAGTACGATGTTTCCTATAGGCCGTAATGATGACAGCAACGTCTGCACAACCAACTTTAATCCTGGAGCTCTACTTATTACCCTACAAATTTAAGAAATATAAAATACAAAATGCAAATCGTTGTGAAATAAACTTTATGTTAATTGATCAATGCAAAACACAACCACTATCTTGAATATCACATATCTTTAAAGACGATTTTTACAGGATTCATTATTTCTACATTTCCGGCATGTAAAGTAATTCTTAAATTATTATGTTTAAAATATGTCTCTGAAATATAATAACAAAAGTTTTACTTCAAAATTCTAAATAATACAACATTTAATATTACATTCATGATCAAAACAGAATTATACCTGAGTGGTCTTAGAGTTCTAAGAAGTCTGAACACCCGAAGTATTCCGAATATTCTGGGGCTGCTTGAAGCGGTCATGGAGATGATGGTATCTATCAATGATATAGCGACAAGAAACCCGTCCATTATATTCCAGCCACTTTTAAGATAAGCATGTTTCCCAATCAATAAACCCTTGGCAAGTACCTGTTAATAAACAACACTTATTGCTGTTTGATCTACAAATGACAGTGATCGCCTTATCAATACATCTGTTCATATTTCAAAAGTGAAAGCACAAAAAATCAGAGATGAATATCTTAACAGTTATATAAGATCATAATTGGTAAAGGGGACATTAAGAAAGCGTCCAAATTTAAAATAATTGCAACATCAAAGGTGATTATGCCATTTGTTGGATACATATACATTTGAACATTTACTCCGACAGGTTTGAAATAATTAAATCAAAAGAAAGACAACAGAATGAAAGATTTTGATATTTGTAATGAAGCGGACAAAGTAAAATAAAAGCGACAATATCATATTAAATCTGTATAAATAGCGGTTTACATTAAACATATTTGTTAATAATTTCTGTGATTATTGTCGCTAGATATGACCGTTGTCAGAATGACTGATATGTTTTGTGACATAAAATGACGGTAAAGGCGTAAAGGGATACACAAATACAAGAAGTGTGCTATAACGATTCCATAAAGTAATATAATACTACCAGCATACCTTGATCATCATCTCAAGGGTAAAGATCACGGTGAATATATGGTTTGATATGGTGAGGAACTCTCTTTCCTGAAACAAATCAATACACATTCACTGATTACCACATAATACCACTCATTCAATTAACAGCTTGCAGTATATGTGACCGATGAACTATTGAACTAAAGTTATAAAGTACAAATACTGAGAACATTCAATATATATCAGAGCTATAGTTCATAATAACAAAAGCAAATATAAGTTATCATAAAACGGTATTTAATCCGTTATTGAACAAGTACTTAACACTTTTATTTTATACAATACAGTTTTATACAATACTAAACGATTGATTACCACACTGTCCGGAGGAATGTCCGGTCTCTCCATTGCTAAGGTAATACAATTGAGGGCGATAAAGAAGAGTACAGAATTGTCGAACCATTTCTGAGCAATAACATGAAAGGCCAAACGTCTAAGTGGATTGTCGGGACTGAGCAAATACAGTGAATACTCCAGTCTGGCCAGGAAACAACCATGTGGCTCAGGACACCAGGAATAGTTGCAATTCTGAAAATATGACAAATAAAGGTCTTAAGCATCACAGAGACATTCAAGGAAAAATTACAATCAGTACTAAATCAGATGTGTTTAAAATAATATGAAATAAAAAGATCAGGAATGTGATATAAGTGTTACTTACTAAAACTATAAACTCAAAGTACGTATATGAATCTATACTAAACAAATTCCATGTGTTTCATTAAAGACATAATACTAAATAATTCTTTATGACTATTTACTGTTTCATCCATTGCATCAGGATCTTCTTCTTCATCGTTAGATCTTTTCTCTTCCTCTTCCTTATCATTTCCAACTTCAGATAAATTGTTAGGACGGTAGTCGTCATTACCGTGTCCACTACACGTCGACGACAGGGAGTGAATTTTACGACGTGTTGGGAACGTGTTTTGTCGGCTTAGATGAATAGAGTTACAGATACTTCGTGCACTACTTGACGAATTATTACGGCTACGTAAAGAGTTTTTTGGTGATGACATACGGCGATTAAACATGAGATTCTGATGTGAGCTGAATACTCTACGGTTGTTCAATGGAATGCCGCCATTACATTCGGAACTAAAACATGAAATTACAATTATAATTGTGTATATCTGTTGTAATGGTTTCGTATAGATGATTTTTACAACTCAAGCTAGCAGCCTGTGCTATGTGTATATCTTAATAAAGCAAGTATAATAGTTTTGAATAAGTGGTCTCCCTTACATCGGTGTTTTATAGTTTTATTTAAATTTGATAGCGTGAGAAAGACTCTTTTTCTTTATTGTTATTTTAGGTTCAGAGGATATTCATCCATTAACAATTGCAACACATTGCGTGTAAATAAATTTGAAATCACCGCTTGCATGCAAATTTAAGTAAAATACGAGCACTTGTTAACTAGTCGAGAAAATTGAAAACTTGTTGAAATTAACCTTTTAATTGCGCTCCCGTTCGGTTTCAAAATTGGTTGTGAAGCAGGTTTGAAAACTTCATCGTCTTCGTCCTCATCATAATCACAGAAATAATCATCGTCATCACATGGGTCATTGTTAGAGTTGGTCTTCATTAACTTTGCTCTGTCACCTTCTTTTGTTCTCTATACACACACAAATAAACTTTATTCGTCTATAGCTTTTATATGCTGTCAAACTCATGTCGGCATATCATCTAACTTATATGTAAAATAAACATGTCGAATAGCGACATTCTAAATTTTCTAGTAAATGAATACCGCGGTCGTGCATAAAACAAGGTACCCCCGACTATTAAGTTTAAAGTGTTTATATGATTTAAATTTCATTTTAGATGTAGATGATAATCAAACAAACGTCTTTTTATTTCACACTTTATGAAATATAACAAATGAACTACATGTATCAGTATTACAAATGGAGTACATGTGCCAGCATTACCAATGAACTCATGCATCAGCATAAGATACACATGACGTTCTTAAAGAAATCATTAACCAATCGAATCTTATCACTTTAGCCTCGCATCCTTTTTTAGAGTCCAAATAATCCATATCAAATCCATATCGTATACCATATGGCCTTGTTTTCATTTTCAGAGTCCATTTTATCTATCCGCACCCATATAGCCTCGTTTTTATTTCGAGTTCATAATATCTGTATAAAATTCATATCGTATCCTATATCGTTCCGTTTTCAGTTTCAAGTCCAAAATATCTATGTATATTCTCAGTCTAGCCTAGTTTTCATTTTCAGGGTAAAATATATCATACCCAAAGTAGCAAAGGTCTGTCAAAATGTAAGCAATGGAAATAAAAAGGTCACTATACATTGTTGAGATTGATATCGACTCTATTGGACTTGTCCAATATAGGATTAATAACAGTGTACACACCTAATACAATTCATTATTGTTCTCAAAAATGTATAATTACCTCATGATACACTTTGATTGTTTAAGTTTAAGGGAAACTAATTATTTAATAGAACAAAACGGAACAAACTTGTAGTAAACGACATGACTTAAATGTTAGCAGATTCTCGTCATCAAATACGTACATACATATATTTTGGTTTCTGTTAATTTTTTCTTTATTTTATTTATGATTGTAGCGTATTTCCGGAAAAGGATATCAATTATTTAAATTCAGTCATCTAATCCAAGGTATATTTAAGGCTTTAAAGTTGTCTAACATATCAAATACATTAATAATGTGTGCTATTTTCAAATCCAAATGACGTCAACAGTTATACGCCAGGTGTCATTTTCCTTTTTAATAACATCAACAGTATGCTTCATAGAATCACAAAGATAATTTTAATATCGTTAAGGTAACATCTCTACAGAAATATGTGATTATTTTTTCTTACCAGTTGAACCTTTTGTTTTATTTCCATAAATATTTCTCATTTCAGCTAACCTCATAAGGGACCCGTCTAAATAAAGACCTGATGACGTCATCAAGCTAAAGCTACTACATGGTCAGAAATTCACGTGCATTCAATTTATCATAAATACATAAAAAACTATATTATTTTTCACAAAGAACATTACGTGTAGTTTACCTTCATTTTCCAACTATTTCTGCGACTACCATAGCTAAGTGACCTCCAGAGTCGGGGTGAAGGTCGAGGTGATGGACGGGGTGATACACGTGCTGATATCCTGGATGACGTGCGGAAACTGACAGTAGGGGTTCGACAACTAGAGGCACGGGAAAGATTACAACTAAGACGATTTGATGACATTGACAAAGATGAATTGAGTGAGAGGCGTTGTGCAACGTTGTTCAACTGTAAAAAATAAAACAAACAAGTAAATGCATGGGGTCATAAATATAACATTATAAATGATCTTTGTGCATTTTTATGAAAATAATTATACAGAGTTTAACCCTTTACTTCATATAGACGTGTTCTGACGGCTTTTCGACCCCACCCCCATTTTTTTGAGGCCTCGAGTGAAACATTACCCTATTTATGCCCAAAACACTTTTTTCGTTTGGGAAATGTTGCTAAAAAAAGTGATCACTTTATCGGCGCCGCCCCTATCACCCTATTAAAAAGGTACTTCAGGGGGTTGCCAGAAAGGGGATGTGCCCCCTTCTGTTTGGGGAGTTTGAAGGGGGGGGCAGTAGCCCCCCTCACCGCCAAGAAACTTTTGGACTTGTGAGAGACTAAAAATTACCCAAGGTCCATCATAAGGTAACGTGTAACCAACGCTGAAAAGCCTTTGACTCTATCTCAATTCATTTAGAAGTTGTTGCAGCACGTTGAAATCAATTTTGATGGAAAAAATCAACGCAAAATAGTGATTTTTGGCAATTTTGAGATGTCCCCTCGTTGCCATGGTAACATATAATTTAAGACTGAGCATTTCGTTACAAAGGCAATGGCCCAGTCAACATTTGTGCCAAGTTTGATTAGTATTGAAGCATTTGTCATAGTTTCATAGCAGTGTGAACTTGTAACAGAAGGCTTTTCAATGAAAACGGGCATTTTTCACAATATGCTCATGAGGGAAAGGGTTAAAATGCTATAATATTGACAGACATATATCCCGTTCTAAAATGCCCCTGTCTTTATACTTTGAAGAAGTAAAGACTAAATCATTTCCTTGTAGTTATGACCCTAAACACGCCCTTTCAATGACCCTTTTAAAACTGTCAAGCGTACATCAGTGTTTGTCCTTGAAATAATAATGGACGTTTTACACGAACATTTAGGAATAGAAATTATAGAACTGACATTTTAACAGTCATTAATGACATTCAAATAAGTTTTCTTGTCAAGGACAATAACAGTACGTTTAAATAGCTTTGAGTCATTTAGGCCCAATTATGTTATATACTATTACTTCTTTTATCTCCTTACAATTATACATTCATAAAATGGATAATTCATTTCGCTTGGTAAGGTCTGTATTGCCTTTTACAGATTTGCAACTGTGTTACATCGTTAAAGTTCATCTGACAGGATATGTTTTCATGGAATGTTTAATCCTATTAATTCAAATGGAAATTGAGTCAAAAGAAAGTATATATGAAACATATTGCATATTGCTTTATCAACAATGATCAGTCTTTACATATTGAAACATGATTTTGAAATCGTACAACTTGTCTGAAAAATACTTAAAAAGTGGCAATACTTAGAAATATAGAAAGGCATTTATACATACTGTAGAATTTTCAACATTAAGGAGTGAATTAGTGTCTGCTTGTCTATTTACATTGATTTCTCTTTCAGTATGTTCATTCGGGGATCCTTGGGGCGTTGCCATAGGCGTGGCTTCTGTGTGCGTTATAACTGGTGGTGGTAACGTAAATACTTTGTTGTTCTCGTCCTTTGATACTTTATTTAACCCCAACAACTTTTCTGTATATGAACATCAAAACATAATAAAACATGACAAGGTTCATTAGCTTGTCTTCAAGTTTCACAAAACAACTAATGGATATCAGAGACGTATTTAGAAAAAGTCTGCACAAATTAGCTGATGACAAGAATATATTAGAGAGAAAAAGAATTCTATGTTATTTATGTGTAAAATCGAATTTGTAGCAAGTATGGGCATCAAATGGACATTAAATGGGTAGAACAAAGGAAAAGAGTCAATATACTAAGAAGAGAATTATAAAAGTTTACGCCTCAAATAAAAAAAAACACATAAAAATAGATTTTCAAACTAAAATACGTGCCGGCTATTTACAGTATAGATATATTTTGTTACTGGAAAAAAAAATAATTATATATTAAAGACAAGAGAACTTTCTTTGGAAAGTGATAACGTTTAAATTAATGTGCATATGTTGTAAACAGATATATACCCTTTTCTTTATTGTTAATTTTGACATCAAGTACCTCTGCCACCTTTTGTTTAACAGAGTCTCTTTGTTCATTGTTGTTGGTCTCCATTATCACTTCAAGTTTTCTCTCTTTGATAGACTCTCGTCGTTTCTTTTTTTCGTCCTCCTGCAATGTTTTTATAACACTTACGGTGTGCTACAAACCCAGACAAATTGCTTTACAAACAAGTAAGATGTGCAAATATTCAAGCTTTACTTTTTATCTAAGTGTCAGACATCTGTATACTTCAATAACAGATTTACGGTTTATGAAAGAAAGTTGATATTTCAATAGAAGTTAAGCAACATTATCGATTTAATATTTATTATCATTAAACGTGTAACAAACACTGGTGAACCTCCTCCTTTCTCAGCAACCTTTAGGGTTTTTGGTTTGAATGTATTTTTATTTCTAAATAAAACCGCTCACTTAAACGACTCAAAGACTTGTTTGAATTGATGTTCAATAATTAAAGAGCTGTAAATAATACTACTTATTCCATTTGTAATTATAGTCATATGACTGATTAAGATACTTGTGTGACGGCATGGCCTAATGTGGTCAACGCGTCGGCTAGTAATCTATTGACCGCTAGCTGCTTGGGTTTCAAACCCAGTCAAGAGCAAGTCGTTGTTGTCTAGAGCAAGAAACTTTACACTCAATGCTCAGAACTGGTGGGTTCCAGGAACATATTCAAAATTTTGACTATAAGCTTCCCAGACAATCATGCTAAAATAAATTATGTACAAACCAAGATACGTGAATATGTAATACTTAATTATAAAGGGAAATGTACTAATTGATAAATACTTCATGTCACGCAATAAAAAATCAAATTTATATGCATTATTATAAACTTTAATATACAATACACACACAACTTTTGATACGATTTGTTCGAACAAAAAGTTCCTGAAATTAAAATTATGTGTCCAGTTTCACATTGTCGTGGCGTAACCATTCTATCCATTACTTTCAAGTTTGTAGAATGAGTCATTTCTTTGTTCGTTGCGACTTACTCTAGCTTTGTCTTTAATTAATGCACTTACCAGTTAATTTACATAAATCAAATACCATTGGAGGTTCATCTAACATAGCATCTGTGCCTTTAAGTATTGAACTTGAAACAGTACAATAGAATGCTAAGTTTACATTCTACTCATATATTATAACACTCAAAGAAGAATTAAACAAACCTCTGATGAAAATCCTTCGACTAGGATAGCAACAAGAAGGTTGAATAAAACATAATTTCCAAACGTCATCAAAGCCACAAAATACAAGGCAGCCCAGGCTGACGTCCTTTCCATGCCGTTATATAAGACAGTATTCCAATCCTCTTGGGTTAGCACCTTGTCAATATATAGCAGTCATATTAACATTTTCATAAATATTCTACTTAATACTATTAGAAAAAAAAACACTATTTTAGCCTAAAACGATCTCTGTTTCGTAGCGAAATTTTATTTAAAAAAATCATAGCTGTAGTAATATATGTATGTTTGATTAATTGATTCGAGAACTATATATTTATAGTTGTACTATGCGACAAAACAAATCAATTTAATACTTTTTAAATATATTACACTAATTCAACAAATGTAAATTCAAGAGCTAAACATAACTTTATTCAAACAATGTATTAGATAAAATTCAATTTTAATTTATATTACATTGTATATTATAATTTTGAAAAAGATTAGAAAGTATGTAGGAAAATCAGTGAGAAAATGAAATAAAATGTCACATGCAAATCAAACAGATCTACTATGCTAAACAAATAGGGATCTGTGTACATGCCCTTGATAAAAATATTAGCAAAAAAAAAAAGATTCAAAAGTCTTCAGTTAATTATTATACATGTAGTTTGTATAAAAAGATTGATTTTGTTTTCATTTGCTTAAACGAAATGTCTCCAAGATCTTGACACAGTTTACAGTTTTATCCCATTTCCAACGTCCAAAAGCGAATGTAATATTTGCTAACTGAACTTAATGATTCATGGAATCTTGCTATTACTTTATATATAAAAAACGATAACATAGTATATGCGTGTCGCATAATCATTTTAGCAGTAAATGTTATAGAAACTCATATAAACATGCTTGACAACATATAGCAACATGCAAAGAGTGTGTTTTGTGCTTATGGGTTGGCAAACATGTGAAAAGTCAAACAGAATATTAAGGGAATGATTTCTATGCAACAAAATTGGGAGGATATAAATGATATGATCTATTTTGTTCTAAAAATAATAGCAGGACAAATGCAAAATAACCATGATATTTTTTCAGTGAAAGTGTAAGCCATTTTTGAGAAACGACATAGTATACTTATCGTAACTTATGTTTAAGAACTATTAATTTCGTGAGTATTATTGGCCGATTTCGATAAGGGACGGTGCTATAGCAGTCCTACCCGCATATCACACAATAAAGCACGGCACGGAAATCATGGTATGCGTGCACTCACATAATGTGCTAGAAAACATTGAAAAGTACTGCGAATATTCAAGAGATATTACTTAACAGCATTCGTTCAAATATTATTAAAATAATCTGGATAAATTCTAAGCACATAACATTCATGTAAGGTAACGAAAAGGAAATGCCGAAAAGCTACATGCCAAACCAAATTTATTCATATTTTATGGATTTCTTTTATATAATGCTGGATTGTAAATTATCATCAGGGAAGACATAATTCTAACACTATTATTCTTTATAAAAATCTAAAACATAGAAGAGATGCAGATAAATATGTTGAAAAGACGACTTCTCTTTCAATACATAAACTGATATTTTAATAAACATGTAAACAGAGATATTAATGTGCATTATTAAATTTATTTATTGCCATTTAATTACTTTTAATCATATCAGACGTGCCATACTGCACCATTCAAAGAAAAAAGATAAAACATTAAATTATACGAGGTAAAATGTATTTACGGATTGATAGATGCGAGTTTAATTTTTGCATATTTGTTTTGAAATATCTATATTCTGCTAAAAGAGCAATGGGCTAATTGAGCAAACCTCTTGATAAATGTTCTTTTTGGTGTTGTTAGTCCTTTTATTCTAATAATATTCATCTGTTGTATAAAAGTTACTTAGACATTGTTTTATGTATGAATTGTATTGGTTTGGAATAAATCTTTCCAGCATAGCATTCAAGACCAAATATCATTCTAAACTGTGCGAGAAGAGAATGCAATCCGATTGAATTTAGTGGTGTACACGAAGAAATATGAAATAAAAATATAAATATCTGTTGCCAAAAGTACCTGAAACACGGTAACAAGTGACCATAAAAGGGTATTAAAGTTTGCCCGGTCACATTCACAAATGTTCGGTTCAAGATACTCGTTACAATTGCATGTCGATCCATCTGACTTCCAACAAAATTTACCACCAAACAAGTTCATACCTAGGACACTGGAGTACAAGAAAAATACACGCCAATTATTCATCACAGTGACAAAACAATACTTAACACAAATTCCGCACGTGACATAGAAAAACACAGTACACGCTTGTGTACAGTACTTTTCACATACAGGCACGAATAAAACAAAATGTGCACGGGATCCATTATTTGTATCTGATTCGGAGAGTTACTATATCTCTCTCCCTAAAGGACATTTCAAGTGAGCATGATTAGTACAGATTAAGGAACACCTAGATATGACCGCGTTTCATTGAAAACTCACACTTAAACATATATGAAGTTTTTTAAGTGTGAAAACAAAACTATACCTTGTCCTTGGTTAATCAGAATCGTTTGATGGATATATAAATAAGTATGGGAGAATGAAATAAACTGTAAGCATAACATAAGCAACTATATTCTCTGTGCTATATGAATGATAAATAAGCTGTCTACATAACGTTTGTTAGTATCTAAGTCAGGTGATTAGTGATTCTATTGCAGGTACCTATTTGTACACTGTAATATGATTGGACTCTAGGATAAATGTTAAAAATTAAAATCAAAATATCTTTACTTTTGTGTGACACATAAACAATTGTAATGGTACACGATGTATTCCAACGTTACATTTCTCGGTGTTTAGATATAAATCGCCAAAAAGGGATACAATGCGTTACATTATATAGAGCCCAAGCATACTTTACACCGGTAGGCGGAATACGGTTCCTGATAACTAGAAAGGCGTTTAGCGTCACTATATACAATGGTCAGTATGGGCATGCAAGTCTATAGGTATATCAGACGCACGGTGAATAGCCCATACCTGGAATACAGTAATTATAGCCCATAAAAGGGAATCAAAGTTCTTTCTATCACAGTAGTATGTACCGTTCCGGCGATATCGACAAAACTTGCATCCAAAAAGATTCATACCCAGAACGCTGAATAAAACATAGTATGAATATAACAAATTACCTCAATAAACCTCATCAAACCTAAACTACTTTATATGTTATGAGGAACTACACTTTATATACCATTTTAAGAAATATAAGCGTTTAAAACGAAGCTTTTTGTAACATCTTTTTCCAATTGAATGCAAGTGAGACCTGCATTGTGTAGGAAATAAAATAAAATTACAATCATTCTAAATTATTTACAACTTAGATGTCAAAACAACGTATACTCAATTATCGTTTTCCTCATATTTACATTTGGGACTACTTTTCGAATAAATCGAGACAATGTATTATTCCACGAGTATCACAGAAAAAAGTTCTTCACTCAGCAGTATGTTCAGACAAAACCTGGTCAATTACCCCTGAATATGTAAGCTATAACCATTATTTATTGTCACCAGGCTGAGAAAATCTTATATATCTTGTCGGTGTAAAATTAATTCATTATACAAATGTCAGAGACAAAAGAAAGTTTCTGTCTCAAGAGAAACTTTTCAGAATTAAGAAAAAATGGCGCTAGGTTTATTTATCATTTAATATTTTAAAACTGTTTTAACCGTTTATTGTCTGAAAAGAAATTAAACCCCAAGAACTTGATTGAATTCAGTTCGTACACTATTTTTCGACGTGTTCCTCCTTGGAAATCATATTTCTATCAAACTGTCGGAGGAAAATAATTATTGAAATACCTATATTTCAAAAGAAGAACGGACTAGGTCTTTCATTATGAATAACATGGTACTTCTTAACATATGTAAAAATAATAAAACCTCCGCTAAATACTAAATAAATAAATACTCGTAACTTAACCTATCATTAAAATATTTCTACAATCAACTGAACAGTATATCTACCATTACACAATTAAAAGTAAACTAGTATTGTACTTTCCCGATACAAAATACCCTCTTAAGAAAAGAATGTAAATTCTAAAACCACAAAGGAAGTTCCTCTTGGTTAGACAAAAAGTGGCTTTTAAATGCAATAATTGTTTGTTGGAGCATGATACTGTTTAAAGTAAAACTTACCTAAATATAAACATAAAAAGTAACAATAAGGCAAAGAATGTGGCGACGTTATCCATCGTCCGTAACATCACAATAAGCTGTCTCTGTAACGCGGGCATAAAACGCACAAGTTTTAAAATCCTTAACAATCGGAAAGTTCGAAGAACCGACAACCCGCTCCCACCATCTTGATTTAATAGTTCAACCATGCTGAAACATATTAAGAATTTAATACTTACGATATTCACTTAATATTAAAACTGTACAACAATGTGTAAAAATATGCATGTAATATGATGGTGTTACAGTTTCGTCTCGTCTGATATTTGTATTATTGTAATTATTCTGTTACAAATTATTGAAACTGCCATCCATCAATCATTTTTGTCTTTAAGATACACGTCTAAATTACGCATTACAATAAAATGCCAATATTAGACTCATGCTGCAGACAAATCAAAGGAAACAATAGAAATATAGAGACGTTTTGTAAGTCAGCATATAAAGATAATTGTAATATTTGACAATCTTGTAAATTGTAACACCCTCAATCTCGTACACACTCTAATTAAAATCTTTAAAATCATGGTTCATGCTTCAATTTCTTAAATAAAAACATGAAGCCACCAGGGGATGAAAACAGTCACCAAGTGCACTTAATTTCATTATGCAGCGCGAGTCAATGTGTCATTCAGATGAAACTTTAATCATCGATCCTATCTCTTGTTAACAAGTCTGTAGCAGTAACCGTAGATTTATAATTACTGGTACCTACTAAAATGATGTAATGAACTGCAACCACGAATCAATACAATTTTATGAAAATTATATCACCCTGAAGACATTATATGATATAATGTTAATAATGAAAAAGCGGTTAGTCCAAGGTTGATGTTTGCAGGAGAAACCGTTGATTTAGTTTCTTATTTGTATTTAACATATTGGGATGATATATTTGGGAATGATATAAATACCTGAGGATTACAATAACTCCGTCGAAGACGTTAAACCCGTTTTTTATGTAACCAAACAAACCATATGAGATCAGCTTCAGAAACATTTCTACAGCAAACAATGTCGCGAATGCATAGTTGCTGTATTCCAAAACCTCTGTCAACTCTTGAGGCTGAAATAACGAAAATATTTACTGACAGTATTTTTCTAAAAGTAATATTAAAACGGAATGTATACATACATATTTCAAAGCGAAACAGTGAATTAATTGAGTGTTCCTGATAGACGGGAGTGAATAGAGATTATTAAACAAACTTATAAGATAAAGGTATACTGTTCCTATGATAAGCTCAGTTCCGACATATTTTGTTCTCTCTTCAAACAGTTTCACTATTTTTTTAACACTAGTAATTTTAAGATAATCAGAATATGTGCTGTTGTTGTTAAGATTTTAAGATTTTTATCGGGGATGATTATATATGTTCGTATCGATCAACACTAATAAAACGTGCCTTTTAGAAAATGGTGTTGATAAAAAATAAACAAAACTAAATTGAGGGATAGCTGACTATTTCATATACATCAATATTGTTGTATTTACAAATTTAAATATATGTATTTGTCAGTGTATTTAGTCATTTCCTCTTTTCTAAAACATTTTGTGACGATTATTTACCTGGTTGTGATATTCTATACCCATGCTGAACGTGTTGAATAAGATGGCTGCTAGAATACCTCTCTGGAACAATCTGTGTTCTACCATAAGTTCAACCTTTCTTCTCGCTGCACGAATAAACCATGCTGTCAAACAAAATCAAATTAATAAAATAATTATGTTTTCCGATAAAACATCAATTAACCAACCCCACATTCCAGAGTAACAAAAGCCATTTCAGGTGAATTATTCATTTAGTTGACAATGTAACATGCTGCAAATCTCTGTATGATACAATGTAAAAGGTGTATTTGTATCCACACTATGCTTACTTGCTGTGATTTTTTGTTTTCAGCTATTAAGGACAGTGTGAAATGAAAACGGTCGCTACTTTGTTGTAGGAGGATAATAATTATTGTATTGTGTAATGCTGAAAACTGTGTTCAATAGTTGATAATAACCAGTGTGACCTTACAATAGTTCGTTGCCTTTATAAGGAAATATAGAATCTATTATGTAACCTTATCTATTTCATAATTTGCTTGCAATTTGCCATGAAATATCGCACTTGTAAATTCTTAATTAATCGTCGATGCGGAAACTACTTGATGTAGTAATTGTCATAGCCTGTCAATTACTTAATGGCTCGTAAAATTTAGTGAGATAGCATAAATAATTCAAGAAGAGCAATAAATTCATTAAATTGATTTTACGAAGGACTCTACCTGAATTCTTTTTCTGTGAATGTTCTTGTTTGCAGCCGCAATTTTCAGGGTCATGTTTATATTCCATTTCAAATTCATGATCATGCTCGACACAATCACAGTCATAACACGGATATCCTCTGACCTCATGGTCACATGGTAAGGCACATTGTATACGAGGATAGAATTTGTCATTTACTGTCTCGGCCAGATATGTGTCTGGTAACCCTGGAATACAAATTTCCTGTCTAAGATGGAACCAACGACAGAACTACTACGACATAATTGATATATATTACATAACAAAACCCTAAAATGTCATATGCAATTATGTATATGGAAGAAGTTAACATTAAAGTAAAATTTTAAAGTATGAATAACTTATCAAAACTATCTATTTTAAACTAGGGACTTTATTAATTTTTAGATACGGTAATGAATCATACGTCTTGACAGAAGTTGTATTAAAATTGCAAGAACAAAAACACGTTTAGAATCTACTACTGAAGTTAATTATGCATTCATAAATAAGAAAGTAAGAAAGGCCAAAGTTTAATTATGTTGTAGAGGAATTTGCAGACACAATTAGGAAAGAAATCGCAATTCTCTGTAGGAGCAATCGATTATTGAAAGAAAACTAAAAAAAACTGGAACCATTGTTAACATAAATGTAGCACAATCATATTGAACAATCATATAAATGTATATATCGTATTATGGTCTCAGTTTTTGTTATATTATTGTTTGCACATGGAACGACCATTGACAGATATACTATAATAAGAACATCTTATATCAATATGATCGTTATCTATATAAGGTCAACCGCAGTCTGTTTATGAAACGTCAATGGTTTAACGAATGACGTTATTAAAAATAATATAACAGCAAGTGCATGCCTATCGCGAGATACGTTTGGTTTGGGAGAAACATATCAAAATTAGATAAACAGCTATTTTTTTACTGAAATCCGTTGTATTTTACAACCATTTTACCACATTGTAGGTGATATATCGGCGGTCGTTGAAGCTTACCAGCTTTTCTGGATAACTAACAAGTAATAGTGCAAATGTTTTTGTAAATGTCCGAATACTTATTCAACATGATATTAATAAATAATTGTCACGTAGAAATTCCGCCTCAGTCCTTGATTACAAATCCGTTGTAGCTAAACAGGCGGACATCTATAATATAAACTATATTTAAACTAAACTCCCAAAAAATATATCTATTCTTATTGTTTATGCCGTGTATTTTCCTGTTAAAAAGCACATAATGCAAAAGCAATGCAAAAAAAGCAAAGAAAGAAATAAAGAAAAGACACACTTGAAAAGAAAGATTCTGATGTATTATAATGTTTATGAGTCTATAAGAATGAATATAATAATCATTCGGTGAAGTGCAAAAGCACAAAAGTGAATTGTCATAGAGGATGCAACTTCACTTAACTCATTACGTCAAATATATTGATAATGTTATACAGCATTTACAAGAGATAAAAAGTTAGAATTTTCCTATATAAATCAAAACATTTGCTTAAAATTAAATTTTCCATCTGGATATACATATAGGTATAGGATAATAAATTCTATGGTACAAAATTAAGAAAGTTTGAATGATTTAAATACGTTGTTTCGATAAACTAAATCAAATCATCCTGAATGTTAAAATGCAACATGCATAGGGATAAACATGCATCACATTCTATGAACATATATTTACTTGCCTTTATCATTCACATGATGAAATTTAAACGCATCATATTCCTCATTCACTAACGTATTAGATGCTGCTAATGTTGCATTCTTTGCACTGTGGGTTGATACAACGTCAGGCAAAAATTGTAGATGTTTCACACTTCCATCTAAACTAAATGACGGATTTCTGCTATTGGCATTCGAAACATGCGCTGATAGCTGATTAGATGAGGGAGCAAATGATTTGAAGAGCGAAGGTGTTAGAACCTCAGCTGCGGCTATAGCCAGCGTGTTCAGAGATTCGGACGAAGGTTGAGCACTAATGCCAGGGACCGTCAGAAAGGGCGGTCGCCGTGGAGAGGAGATAGGATCTACCTCAGATGCCTCGGGGCTGGCTCTAGGAGCTAAATGATTTGAAGGATAGCTATCATGACACAGTGGTACAGTTTCATGATTAAGATATACATAATGATAATGTGCATGTCTCTGATTTTTACTGCGTGCATGGTTACATTGATTGTAATGATGTTGAGCGATACCTTTCTTCTTTTTCTTCCGGAGAGCCAACTCCGGTTTGACTTTCTTATGCGTTTTGCCTGTCTTTTCGTAGTAGAGTTTTAGTAATTTTCTTTTTCCACGCCTATATAGATGTCCAATATATTTTAGAATTTCTGTATAACAACTGCTAGGTTCAGAGTTGCTAGCTAATGTACTAGTTGACTGATAACGTTTCCGCTCCTGTAACATTCGTTCTGTTTCGCGTTTCTTAGTTTCGGAAAACTGCGTCGCTATGACAACTAAACATAAATTGATCATGAAGAATGAGCCAATCTGAAAATTAAGAGAAAATATACATACTTCGTTTTGTTGAACTTTATTATATTATATTGGAATCGTGCCGCTCTAGAAGACTAAACATCTCTAAAATAAATGCATTGTGAAGGAAATACTGGTTAAGAAGTCCTGCTTATTACAAATCTGTCATACATCTCAAAGCCCAGACAAATTAATTTCATATCTTATATTTGCACGGAGGAATTATGTAATTGTGTAAGAGCATTTAATACAATATGCGCATGCGCATTTTGAGCGATACGGCAGATGTGTCAAATGAAAATGTTAAATATGTAAAGAACGAAAGAAACGAAAGAAATACATTATTTCAACCTTCAGGTATATGCTCATCATTAATTCAACCAGCATATATTAGAGGTCTGTTATTGATGTGACCTGTTAATTATATGAACATACTGAATCTATAATATTTTCAATCCTTGAAATTTACCTTGAATATGTATGGATGTAAACAACAAATGCTCAAACATAAACAAAGTTTCTATCTGATAAACATTGTTTCCCGAACAAAGCCTTGAGCAATGTTAAAATTTGTTCACATATGTGATTCATAAACATGCGTAAATACGTTTAAATTGTAGGCGTTTGTGTAACATAATATATAATGCAGAAAGAACTTACAACAATAAGTGCTACAAAATACGACCAGTCCCAGAATGAATGTGCATCTTGTACATAATACATTATATTAACCCAACTTTCAAGGCTAATCACCTGAAAAGGAAATTAAAATAATTATGAAATACTTGAGATTGAAGTAGATACTGCTCAGGAACGAATTAACCAACAAAAATGTAAACACTATTCAAAGTTGAAAGAAAAAATGATCAAGTGATAGTTTAATGGTGTTTACATACCTGAAAGATTGCCACCCATGCAAGACCAATGTTGTCAAAAGAGATTGCACCCTGAAATGGGTTCTTGTCTCCGGCATCACATACAGTGTAATACTGGTTCCAGTTCACGCACGAACTGTTCGTTGGTGTATTGTTCCGAAACGGCTTTGCGCTACCATTGCATTTGATGCCCTCGAACTGGTAGCGAGGCAGATTCTCACATCTTCGCATACCAGACTCGCCAGGTCGTGCACATATATAGTCTTCATATTCTTTCATGGGGACGTAATATGGTCGTAAACTTACACTGAAATTGTCCAATATTATGGTTTATTTATGTATGATCTTATAACACACGTTCTTTAATAGAGTAAATTATTGGTCACTATATCATATATTTGCTATAATAAAATAATATACTGATACATGTTCATATTCTGTATCTTAATATGGCTGTTTTAAATGTTTCAATGTTTTCAACCTTATGTCTTACCAATTTGATAATCTTTGGTTGAGAAAGTTTTATGATTCGCAATTCGGCATTTGAAAATGATTTTCACCAATCTGATGTGCTGGTCTGTAACTCGACAAAAAGCTCTTGTATAAGATACGTTATTGATGTGGTAGCGGTTTGATGTATTACCTTGTCGGCAATATTGACATCGGCAAGCTAATTTACCCTAGATATTGTGTACCTATCACCTAATTAGACCCTAGTGAATTAAACTACCGTACTTTTTCTGTGTTATGTACTAGTTTCTATTTATTTCTGTTCATTACGTTTGTTGATTTCTTTTTAATAAGAATATTATCATTGAGGATTTGATTAGAAAACGGGGTAATTTGATGTATTGGTTAATTTTCTTTTGTTCAGTTTGTGTTAACTTCGTCAAACATATGGTAAACTGATACTTTTACATTTAACGCCCATGCAAGTTAATACGTTTCATTTCCTTCTCATAGTTAGATATTATTTCACATGCTATACAATCAACAGAAAATGTTGTTAATAAATAGTTTTCCGAGGTAATATACTGCTAGAAACTCTAATATAAATTTGATAGAAACATTAACCATACGTTCCATGAGTGCTGCAAATTGTTTGGCTCCAGCATGCGTCTGGGATGAGATTATTTGAGAGGTATCTTTCGTTGGCAGTTTACAGTTTAACGTCTCGAAACTAAATCGGCATATGACTGAGACAAATTCAAACTGATTAAGAAGAAGTGTTCTTGCATAAACTTGTTAACAATATTGGAGACATCTTCTTCGGCATTACAAATGAACAGTTAATTTATTGCTTGAAATGACGTAACCAGGATACTATTAGACATATTATTTACAACTATTATTATTGTTAGGTTGTCATTGCTTATTAAAAAAAGCAAGATAAGATCAAGACTATGTTTTTTTTCAAGTTTTCTATTATGTATGTACAAAAATGGGTAAACAACGTGTCCGATATTTCAAAGTTTTATTGTAAGTGGTGTCTATAATGACGCCGAGAATACTTGCAAAGTCGTGCATATAAGATGCAACAATTAGCAATAAATATAACAATTTATAACAGAGTATTCTGGTGTGTGTCATGTAAGTGTTTTTCCAGCAGATAGGTTCTATGAATATTTTAATTGTCCATTAAGTCACATGATAAAATAATACTTAAATAAATAGCATGGTAAATCATTATTGCCTTGTTTAAATACTAGTACATACGAAGCGTTTCGATTTCTCAGATGTTAAAGTAAATATCTAGAAGCTTTGCGATCAGTAAAATCAGATGTCATTGCTGTTAACTTTGAATATATCAAGACTCGTAAGATAAATTAGAAAAATGAAATGTAGGTGTTGTTTGTAGTTAAATGTGAATTTTTGCAATAACATTTAAAAAAACCCACACTATTTCAGCACATACACAGACCGTTACAGACTGTACATATTATACCTCAACATGTACATATACTACATATGATATCATGTTACAGAGGGAAATATTACAAATACATAATTGATGTAACAGGGTAGCGGTTGATAAATTACTTTCTTTGGCTATAAAATTACGTACAACAAAATGAGTCAGTTTGTAACTGTGACGAATATACGGGTTATATCCTACCTTAAGAAATTATGAGTGTTTAACTAATGTTAACCACTACTAGGTTTTTTACTTAATTTAAACGTTAATTATATATGCTTTAAAATGTAGAAAATATAATATTAGAATAAGAATGAAATGGAATTAACGTTTGTCACGTTGAAGGTTCCATGATAACCGCTGTATTAACACATCTGCGGATGTTTCTAAATTTAATATTTTTGCTTTATGTTAAATGTTGAATTTTGTTTAAGTCAGTGTATCGAGTCGTTGGCGGCGTGCACGTAAAGTACTGTCCATGCTGTCCATGAACAGACTCAGTCAAAACGTGCCTGCAATATTTTCAACTTTGAGGATTTAAGTGTTCTGTAGGGATTCTCATTTATTTATATTCAATGATTAATATTAAGACAGACAACAGAACTGAAATTTAATATTTGCAAACCATTAAAGATTACCTACACTAGTACTTACTTATATGATATGTTGTCACTGATATTAATGAAACATCTATTTCTAAGTACCCCGGCCCACAGCTGCACACCGATTATACCAAAGATAAAAAATACAAAGAAACATAACAGAAGGACATTCCCCAACATTGGCAAGGTATCGAGTAGCAACATCACGAGAATTCTCATACCTGAAATTATACATTTTTAAACATGTTGATTAAAATTATAAATTATAAAAATGATAATTATTAAAATAAGTTTGACATATTTCTTAATAACATAATTTGAAAGAGTAAATATGTGTACTTTATCTAAATTAAAAAAAACAAACAGCATGAATCACGCACTGTGCCCATATTGTAAACTTCACGGACAGTTTCCTCTATGTTCCATTTATCTGTCTGTTTATATTAATGACTTTTATATCAGCTTTAACATCTGCAAAAGTATTTGAGAGAAACTGACAAGTGAATGGTAAAGGTTTCAGTTTGATTATCAAGATATGTTTTTCAATATCAAATCATTTGTGTTGCAAAATCAAATTGTCTTTAATCGCGATCATATGACTGTTGTCTATAAAAAGGTTAAAATGTAGTTTCAGTTAGAGTAGAGTTATACAAATTTGAGGATAATACAAATAGATTTAATTGTGATGACAGCTTGTGTTTACAGAAATAATTAATAAACCCTAGAAATTTGTAAACATGTCAGATATCCGTTACAAGAATTCCAACGCTAGTAAACATGTCAAATACAAGAGTTGTCACTTAGAATGTAACTTACTCCCACATTTCTTAAACAGATATAGAATCTTGTAGTTTGACAACATATAATGTGATAACAACCATCCCAAACCCTGTCACATATCGTAATGCTTTAATAAATGACTTGCTGAATTTGTGTAATGTATTTGCTCCGTTTTGTGTTTCGACAATCTTTGTTAAGTTTAAGGAATTTTGATATCAAAATACAAAAATTGAAATGCCCATGTATGAATATATGCTGGCTAGCGTTGGTCTTTACTGGTGGCAAAAACTAATCACTTCCGGTTCCAGGAGATTCAGTATTAAAGTGACAATTCATACGATTGTGTACACATGCTTCATGACGAGAAAGTTTAAGGATTGTATTTGTCACGCTGCTATTGATAAAATAAAAGACTTTTCTAACATTAATATCATGTATATCCGTAGGCGTAAAGCATAAAAGCATATACAATTTCAAATTGCATAAATTCTAAGGTAAATTGATTTGTAATATAGCGTCTCACAGTGAACAAATAGATAATACAATATAAACCCCATTTTAATTAAATCGACTACGAACATAAGTGACACAAACTGCTCTGTTTTACAGATATAATTTGATATTAAAACAAAATCCCAGGAGAAGCATATTGATTAGCTTCGTTGGTTACATATTTTGTGTTCTTATCTCCAACGAAGAGCATGTGAATGCCGGTTTTCAGAAACTGTGCCGTTAGAGATGTTATCAATCCGAGCAAAAAGAGGATTTCCAGTGTTAGAGGAAATGACAAGATAATTATACAATGAGTCATCGAGCTGCGTTATTATAGTCAGTAAGAATTATATGACCTCTACAAAATGTGTGTTATTTTGGTCTGATTCTAGTTATTATTCCGTCGTCAATGTGACACTTTAGAATGACCATCACTCCTGTTTCTTAGGTATCTCAAACCCTCATAGAAAATTAAAAGGCTGGTTAAGTCCTTGCGAGTTACGGCCAAAATGATAAAAGCAAATTATGGTATTTCCTTAAAATTAATTAAACCGTTTTTTACAATAAACTAGTAGAGAAACAAAGTCCAACGATACTTATGTTTACATAATTAATTTTACTATGTATCACAATCTGCTGCTTTTTTCCGTATAGACCTTTTAAGTGAAAAAAGTATAAATGGGGCAATTAGAGCACATTCAATTGATCTTTATATGAACGAGGATATTGCTCAGTTCAGAAATAATACTATATTCTTATTAAATTTCTATTCAGAAAAAAAAAAACAACCAACAACGTATGCATTTAGTCTATGATTGCTTTGATCTATCAAATGGAAACATAATTATGCACGAAACACTTCAACGCAATTCTCTAATGAGATCTTTAAGTTTTTACACACTTTTCCCACAAGTGTTTGATACTTTCTTACACTATATACAATGCCGACTTGTTACAAGGTTAATGCCTTATAAATGTCAAACGTTATAAACTAACACGTTATCACATAGAATATACAACACCTTGATATGTCTAAAATGCTTTTAAAGAAAAAATTATTTAATGACCTTTTCTACTCAGTGAGATACCTTGCCTCCAATGTAAAACTATATTGTCTTATATAAATCTAAAAATAAACTTGTGCCTTGCTACTAAACATTGTCAGAGTGCAAGGTAAATTATAGATAGTAAATGACCGTTTTGTTACTTACTTGGTATCCTGTTAATCGCCCTCAATGGCCTAAGCACCCTGATAGTTCTGATAGCTGAAAGACTGAGGTTCTCCGAATCTATACCATATTCTAGTGTACTGAAGGAAAATCATTTATGTGTATTATTCTTATACTGAAATGTTTGATTGCAATTTATATTAATATCTTTTAAAATATATTACGATTTACAGCTTAAATATTATTTAAGTCACACGTGCTAGTAATTAATTCAAAATTAGTTATCACAAAGGACAGATAAAGAAATTTTAGTTCAAAATACAAAGCTGGCGTATTTTGTGCAGGTGATTGCTAAGTTATTCCTATTTAAAAAGCGGTTGTGGAAGTGGGAAAGGTCAATTCTGCACAAGGTCAAATGTAGGGCAGGTATGTTATCTTAACTTAATGTCCGTTACACTGTCAAAGAGCAATGAGCAATTCATCGAATTACCAATTTTCAAAAAATACTTTATCAAATCTCATTCGAGTAACGGACATTATTATCAGAATGTTATTATTGAAACAAGACGTTGAATAATACTGTGTAGGATAAAATAGGGACAAATGAGACATTTTGGTCATGCATACTCAGTTCAAATAGTACAACAAGGAAATCATTTATGATACTGGTGCCTTCAATATAGTCACAGCATGCCACTTATGGTTATTTAATAATGAACAACGATACAAATCATGACCATTGTACACAACATTGTTCAAATCTTAGATTTATAATTAAAGAAAGCATTGTTGCAAAACTAGCAAAGAGTTCATTCATTGTTTAAGATATTTTTATAGGTAGTACTTAAGGTTTTAATCATATGAGATGCATAAATATACGAACAACTTTTCTTAAAGTGTTTTTGTAAGAATTTTATCTAAATAAAAGGAATCATTAACAAGACAATAAACCGTAAAAGCTACACAATGATAGAACAACATATGCCATGCGTAACGACACATCTAGGCGGAAAATAGTAAACAAATCCTTACTTGTCAACTACGTAGTCAACAACTCTTTATAGCATGAAAATGCAGGAAAAATGAATAAAGTATAAAACTAAATAATGTGGATACAATTAACTAATACCAATCCATGCCGATAAAACCAAATTCAATTTAGAGCTAAATTTCGATCATTTTGAAAATTCCCTATATGCAAATGTTGTGCAAATGGACGCAGAATATTTTTTTTTATGTTTACTTAACAGTAAATGTTGCAACCAAATACAAATGACGCTTTATTTGTAGACATTGTAGGGAACGTGGGTATAATGAAATCAGATGCAATAAAAGCTACATCAAATATTCATTCAGTCAAGTGTTTAACAGCCATTGTAATATGTAACACGATAATTGTCCTAGCAATAAACACATGACAGTATTTTACAACATATGCAACAGATCCTTTATAAATATATTATAAGTATATAAACAATAAACAATATATAACATATATAATGGTAAAGTTATTTCACAAAACATAGTATGTTTTCATTTCTCAAAGTACATACAATAAGAAAAAGAGTATTTAGAAATAGATTACACAGTATAACATGTTTAACATAGATAAGTTATACCTTTAAGAAAGACCAATAAGAACACCGGTCTTGCAAAAGCTCAAACCATAAATTAAAACAATAGTTGTTGTTTTTTTAAAGAATATAAGTTAACAGGTACAACATATAGCATTCAAAAGACAATTGTTTATAAAAAATGTGCATGTACAATGTATACAAAAATAACATTCATGCATGTGTATTTGTTTGCTTTTCTGAGCTAGAGTTACAACCAATATTGTGAACATATCTGTAAAGTTAAATGTTGAAATGTTTACGATCTAATAAAAGAACCAATCTTTTTTATTAAATATTAATTTGTATCTGATCATGTAAAAGTCGAATCTCTGTGCCACAAAATTTTCTATAACTACATAACGTGAATGTTTCTGTTTGAAAGAAATTAATATTGGAAAATTGTCTTAAAAAGTTATAAAGCAATTTCTGATGAATTTAAAAAATGTAATAATAGTAAAATTACTATTTTTCATAACCTTGGTAATTTTTCAGAAAATGTCTCTGTTATTGTTCTTTGTTAATTAACACACATGAATGATGTACGAAAATCAGAAAAAACATTCGGAACAAAATATTTCCGTTCTAATACTTGTTGATTAGCGATTTTTAAGTCACGTCCAACCAATTTTAATGAAACGTTCAGACAAATGCAGTCTGTATCTATCTTTTAATCATGATGTAAATATTTGTTTTTGCAATTCAAATACCTCAAATACATAGCTTATACACTACACGTTGCGTTGCTGTTTTATCAACAAACACATGCGATGTTTCTTATATAATTGATGCATTAGTTTGTGTTACAAAAACTGTTACTATTAAATGAAAATGTAAAGTTTGTAAGCATAAATTAAAATTGAACATTCTTTATAACTAATATTTACGTTTTTGTTTACAACAATAAGGCACCGAGATGTTCGAAGATTTCTTCCGAGCATTGACAGATTTGATCTAAAGTTCTTTGAGACGACAGAGGACAGTGTATAACAATTATAGAAATTTTCAATGAGGAGATATACTTATTAAATTGTACAATTTTCCGTTGTGGGTATAAACATTTGGTACATATAAAGCAACATATACAGACAAGTACAGTGGGTACGTGTTAAAAATACAACACCAATTTAAAAAAACACATTCATGTAAAGCATCTTCGTGCAGCTGAACGAACGAAAACGATGTTGGATACATGAGATGCCAGCAGAGTATTTTGAATTCAAAAGACATATGATTTCCCAGTTTTGTTATCATATTCTGCGTCCATTTTGTATAATATAACTAATGAAAATGTCCGCCTTTAGTTACGTTTTGTCTTAATATCTAATGTATTTGCAATGCTAATTGAAACAAAGATCATTGCCTAGCAACAAAAAAGCAATCATTTGTGCATTAAGTAATATCACATTTCGCTCAAATATATTCGAAATAATCAAACCAATAAATTGAATAATTTAACTTAAATATTCAATGTCTATTTTTCTAATATTAAAAACTACTTAATAACATGTACACAGACCAACACAATAAACTAAAAATTATTGCATTATGTATTTAAGTGTTATATTACTTTAAGCACCTACGGAAAACAGAAAAGATTAAAGTTAAACAAAAGCCTACCCAGCTAGCACTATAAACATATCAAGTCTGTTCCAAGAATCCGCTAAATATGTTGTCTTCCCCCAGAATCCCATTGCTGTAATTTTTATGATCATCTCTATGGCGAAAAAGGCAAAGATGAAGTGATCAAAGTTTTGGAGAATGCGGCATCGTAGACTGTCGCAGACATTGTCGTTGCACGGCTGGTACATTCCAAGGGTAACACAGTTCAAGATGATCACGAACATACTCAGTCGTTCGAACCATGTGTGTAGCGTTAAGGAAGATAACTATATTACTAATGTAGGTACAGCAAATTGTCACATTTAATACAAAAAATTATCCTACAACAGTTAAATAGAAGCATAATGTAGTTGCTAATAAACGTAACATACTCTGAATAGAGTCGCAAAATCGGCACGGGTATGTGATAAATCAAGAATAAACCAATCTACATACCATTAACATAAAAAAATGAAATATAAACCTGTGAATGGTTTGGTAGTTTTCTGGACAGCATATAACACATTAATTAATATGTACATTTTGTATCTTATTGGAATGAAAGAAAGGGACGAAAAACACATATTCAGGCTGTTTAGCTGTTTCAATTATGCTGTAAATTAAGGTCATTAACTTAAAATAGAAATTGTGCACTTCTTTACCAGGTGACATTAAATTAGTTCTGTACACTTCAAAGAATAATGTTGCTACTGGTTCTAAATATGTATCAGTTATGACGTCATTGTCTATATCTGGTACGGCTGTTTTATAATTGATTTCTAAAACTCTAGGCAAAACTCTAGGCGCAGTATTAAACATTATGGAGCATAAACTGGTAGCAGACATTGCGTTTTCAAATGTAATTGTAGTGATTTTATAAAACCGAATAGCGCTAATAATAATATAGACTAACTTTGTGACAATTACATTGGAAATAGAAACAAAGAAAAGCAAGTGATGTATTTTTTCCGGAAAAGACAGATCAAAAACAAAAAAAAAGCTTGTGATCAAACATTATGAAACCGGAACCACGGCGTATATAACAATGTAATATAAAAATGTTAGATAAAAGTGCAATGTAAGAGCAGTGAATCTGTTTCACACACGGTATCTCTCATTTATTTTATTTCGTCAGAATTTGAGTGTCTCAAAATGATAGAACATAATATTTTTGAAGCACAAGTATAACACCCATTTACCTTCGTTTGAAACTTAAACAATCGGTACATCAATATGCAAGCCTAGTTGTGTTCAAGGCAAATTATGTCATCAAAACAATTAATTAGCTTCACATACAGATAAATATTTCACATACTAACATTTTAGAAGATAGTAATATACTTGAAGTTGTTTTAATATTTACACAAATGCTATAGGAAGGAAATCTGTAAGATTGATCTTACATCTGGTAATGGTTTCCACAATTTTCCAACATTATCCTTATTTTATTACCCAATTTAAAATAACATTTCTATAAGATTTGACTTTTTTCTTAAATCAAACATATGATAAAACACAACAATGTATATAAAATATTTTACAATATTTAACGGGTTGTTTTATAAGGGATACGTATGTCTCGCCGGATATTTCGGCACAAATTACACAAGAATAAGTTCTCTTTGCACTAGAATTGTTTACATGCTTTTCGAACCATGATACAGTAGCATGTCTCAAAAGACGGATAGTTGAAAGCTTAATTAATTTAATTAGTGAAAGCTACATGTTGATGAGGAATTTTCGTTTTTAACATCTCCCTTGCGATTTTTGAACTCTCACCAATAATGGCATGGTTTAATTTAACCAATTTACCCCCAATCTGCTCGTCTGCTTATAGATGTTATACTTGTTAATTGATTTAGAAAAAAACATAAAAACTTAACGTATTGTCTATATAAAAACTATTCGGTTCCGGACTCAAATAACTTTTTAGTGTACATATGGATCAAGGAAGATAATATGTTTGTAACAACGTATAAAAATTTAATTAAAATGCCATAAACCTATGTTTTTTAAATCACGTTTTTATAGGATGACGATGTATGCCGTTACAAACGTCATTTTGTTGCTGAACCTTCAAATTCACAACGAAGCAAAAGAAATATTTATAGAATCCTTTCTCTGTTCCACCTCGAAAAAACTAGTCAATGTCTATCAGTCTGTTTATAACCCCGGTAAAATCTCTCTAATCTAGAAGGGCGGAAATATAAAATAGTCATTATACGTTTTCTTTTTTTTCAAACTTGTTTTCATGTTTTAAGAAATAAACGTTTGAGATTTGGTTTAAGAAACTATGTTTATCAGAGCACAAAAGACAAACGATTTATTGTGCACAATCTTAGATAAGCAATAAATATTTAGCTAAGAAAACTGCAGGTGGTTGATAAAATGAGAAAAGAAAGTTTTTATTAAGACGAATTTTCTTTTATTAGGATAAGCAAGTCAACATTTCCCTGCGTTCTCAATTTGTTTCAAGGCATGCTATTTTCAAAACGTTTAATCATTATCAAAACAAATCGCGCGTTTATGGAAATAACTTTGCAAACAAATTAGCCAATTTTATTAATTATTTATTTCTCTGTTGTTTTCATCCCTCTGGGACTATTTGATTGTTTGCAAACATTGCATTGAGATAATGAATTCTGTAACACTATACATGTATATGTAGGATGACCAAATGTAGACTGCAATAAAATCAATGGCGGAGACCCTTTATGTATTCTTTATTTCCCCGATTTTCTCCAAAATTACTTAATCACAAAACGCACGAACGGTAATTCAATCAGTGAGAGCTCTTTTTCTTACAATAACTTATCAATAATCAAATAAGCTAACAATACGTTGATAGTGTAATAACAGTCAAAGCAAAAACACCCAAGGGTAAAAGACTTTCCAGACGTGAAATAAGAACATTTGACGAGAGTGTGCGAAGAAAATCTGATAGATTGGATTGGATTTCCTCTCATACTCTCTGACTTGCATCATCACTGCTTGTCTTTATAAATGTGATTGTATGAATTATAAGAAGGGTTATTTCTTAAACATTTGATCCGATTGTTTTATGAAGTTACAGCCATACAAAGCAAGGTCCAGCTGGACCGAGTAATACCTGAATTTTACGTCTATTCAACAGATGTAGATTTCATTGTGTATAAGTTATATGGATCTGAAGTGCATATGCATACATAAGGTGGTTTTAATCCATCTTTTTATCATCACCTCATGTAAAATGCAAATTGCTAGGTAAATTTAAATTGCATATTCAAATGAAATGATCAACCAATTTCCGGAATTTCGGTCAAGAAAATACTCCTGTATAAAATGTTCATTCTTCTCGGAATTGCTGTTGTTCCAACTTAAAAAGACAATGTATTGTTTCTTACATGTATTGACATGTTCGTGCATTTCCTAATGTGGTTCTGTGTATTAATATCTAAAATACCTGAGAGTATTTAATACTTCATACACTTTTTATTCAAAGATAAATTTCCCTTTGACTTTTCTTTACTTATTTCATGAAAAATATAAAAGCCGAAACTTTACAAGATTTTATTTTATTACAAAGCATTAAACCAACTAGATTCATATTAAAATATCTTGATTTAAACAATAGTTTTCTTGGCTAAATGTTTTAATGTAAATGGATGAAATCACCCAGCCAAATGGTGTCATACTAACATAATGTTATATCAGTATAAGCTCTTAGTTCTTTGTCCGATCAATAAAACAAATGACAGTTTAGCAGATAAGATGTAAAACTAATCCTGAGCATAATTGAATATTGAGCCTTCCTCACATTTCATTATACAAACTTGTACCGGGAAAAATGATCTTGTCTAATGGAATAATTTGGTTGTATTATCAAAGGACATGCCTGCTTTATACATGTTTAACTAACGTTTTGGCCTGTCGTATATTCATTGTATGTATTTTATGTAAGGTCGGTATGAGAAATGATTTTATTGATATTAAGCATATGATTGTAGATGAATTTTTCAGTTATACATGTATTTCTTAAGGGAGAGGCAGCCTAATGGTAAAGAAATCTTCCTCCAATCGAGAAATAGTGGGTTCGAGTCTCACCGGAGCCATAACCATTTTTCTTTGAATGCCAGTAGCACTGAATAGTTCGAAGGGGACTAGAGAGTTATTCCAATTTTTCTTTACCAAATTTACCAAATATGCTAAATTTGACTACATTTAACTACACATTCTAACCCGATTCGTTCAGATTACTTTTGACATTTATTAAATCACAAATGAAACGACCACCACCTGTATTATAGTCAACTGTCTTCTGTGATGATAAATTATCTTAAATGTCAAGAGAAAATAGAAATGCAAGCCTGCAGTTCTCATAGCTTTTTAATTCTGTCGATATTTTAATAATGCTTAATCAGATAATCTTTGGCATATTTACGTCATCGGGTCTAAATATAGAGATGGTACTTGAATCATACTTTTAAATCCCCGCTGTATTGATTTATCGTGACCAGACGTACGACTTCAATCTATTTCCATTAAAAAAATTGTGAGCAATGGAAATATGTTTAAAGCATTGACCTGAAAAAAAACTTGAAGTTTATTTCTTTCTTAGAGTACAAGTATTTGTACTAAATTTCAAATTAAAACAGTTTCTTCAAAAGGTTTATTGTATGTATTTGGCATAATAGTAAAATACAATGACATAATTATACAAGGCAGAACATATGTTTAGGTGACTTGAACGAATAGTTCTTGTTTAAAAATACAAATTTTCTGCAAAATTGATTAAAACCTTAATGGTCATGTGCACTTATATATGGATGTATTTTTTACTCTTTCATAGTAATATTGTGTACCATCTTAATTCTTAAAATTGTCTAAAATATCTCCATTTCAAGTTATTTTATTGCTCACAAACATATCTAGCAATTTTCTTTCAACAATCATTTTTAAAAAGGTTATGTCGTATAAAAGATATGAAGAACCGCTGTGAAATGTTCTAAATAAACCTGAACTCAGTTATTAAGTAAAATATGACTTATATTCCGATATAAATACGTCCATGTGAAAAACATGTTTAAAGTCTCATAAAATGCACCTTACAGCGCATCTGCAAGAACACGTGTTAAACATTTTACTGGATGCATTTAGGATACGTGGCCAAAGGTTTGACTAAAATAACAATCATTTACGTTTGATTTTCAGGAAAATTACCCAATTACTTCATTTTTGCCATGATGAAAAATATATGAACGTCTCTTCATTAATTCTAATTTT